AAATCAATTGGATACAAATAATTTCTCGTGAACACTTTCAAAAAATCGTCAAATCGTTTGCGACATTTCTCTGCTTCTGCTGGCGTTTCGAATGACGGTTTTTGCATTAGATTCGGTCTGAAATGCACCAATTATTATTGAAATTAGTTGCGGAAAATTTCGCTTGAAATTTGATTATAATCAAAGCAGAAACTAGTGTTGCACTGTATTAGCTACATAAATAAAATGCATACATGCATGTAAATATATTTACATCAACGAATCGATTACACTGCAAATTGTTCGCTGTGATGACGTAATTTTGGCGAGAGTCGTTTCGATGTCATCATACTGACGTTGCAATTGTATTTGGGTGCTGGGCGTATTAGCCGAAGATGCTTTTGTTGAAACACTTGTGCTGATAAATTTATCCGGAACTGAAGACGGCGTCAATTTTAATCTGGGAACAGTTAGAGTGGAACGTTGTGGAGTGACTCGCTTTGATGAAGTCGACAAGAGTTTCGTTTTGAATTTCGTTGTATCGCATTCAACGCATTGAGACAAAATGTTGTTGTGACTTTGCGCAATATTTCTTGGGAGGTTTCGTCTGTCAGCTGATTGACTATCTTTAGTTACTGTATCTTTATCTTTATTGGCACTTGCGGTATCTTTCACTGTCTGAGACGCATTTTTGCTCACATTCACTTGCAAACGTTTGATAAAATCTGGATCCAGGTACTATGAATGAATTATTGATGTGAAAATGAAAAGCCATATAAATGACGTGACGCTCATTTATTCACACTCATACAATGGAAACAAGTCGGTTCAAACACACAACATCTTGAGAGGAGCGAAACAGTCGAACAAAGAGAAAAGAGAAGAAAATTATTTTTGCAACTTAGATTTACCTTGAATTTGAATTTATCAGCCATTGCACTATACGGTAAATGAAACTTTTTTAAAAATCGAATTAAAATGCAGCCAAACTAGAGTCAATACCCGACCGATGTGTCACAAATAAAACGTTTCATATGAAAACTAAACACAACACGACATTTCGATCCCAATTCAGCTCGCTACGTCGCTTTCAATTGCGATGGGCACTCGGTTTCTAATGAAGAAGTACTTTCAAATGTAAAATGATGACGATTATTCTCGCGGAGATAGAAAGCAACTGAATCGGTCAATTTCCATGTGCATGACATAAAACGGAGTAAACATCAAAAAGTACGTCAAGCGGAACGAAAAACGGAACCAAGCCAACTATGCTAATGAGGGAGAAACAGCACACATGACAGCTGTTCTGTTTCAAGAAGGCGTACGGGTATTGGCAGTTTGAGTTGGCGTGAGATACTGTATTATTATACACATAGTTCACCGTGTGAACCGATCGGACACAAGCGAAAATATGCCAGGTGTTCAATATAAAACACTCTGTAACGCTGAAAAAAAGACTCTCAAAAAATGGAAAGAACAATTCGGTGTTCGGTTTTTTTTTCTCTCAATCATTTGATTTTTATTTAATTTATAGATGAGTTCAATTTTACATCTCATCCGAAACTTACGTTCAATATATCAATTACTTTTGTTTTTTTTTAATTACTTCAGCTCCCTACGAATTTCCTTTAATTTCAGTTTATTATATCAAAAAGGAAACTAACTGATCGAATCGGTGTTTTTATTTTTTCATGTTTTTCACAAAAGTATCGTAAAAAAATTCATTAGTTTTTTTGTTTTTGTATTCATTTCATATATATCAATTAAAATTGTCGATTCTAATTAAATTTGCTTTGTTTCATTCTTTGTGAGAAATAAAAGTTGAAAATTTTTTTTTTTCTGGAAAAAAACGTTTAACAAGAGAAACCTAAATGAATCACGTTCACCACAAAAAATAGAAGAGAACAAAAAATGTCCATTATAATTGCAAATTGTTTTATAAAGAATAAATTTTTTTTTGTGTTTTTCTTTTTAATTTGTTGGGAATTAGCGAAAGAAATGCAAAAATATGCCACTACACGAAAGTGCCACCGAATATTTGGAAAAAAGAAAGTAACCAAGTTCAACATGCGCTGTGTGGAAATGTGAAAAACAACGCATAACCTTGGCTGCTTGAGGCTAATGTGTGAAACCAACTAAATATTTTTCAATTGATATGAATCAAGCGTCGTCGGAGTTATAGCTTCTTTTATTGGTAAATTGAATATCGTGCACATTCTATGTTTGATACCAATAGAAAAATTTCCGTTCAATGAACTCTCTCTCTCTTATTTCAATTAACACTGATTGGTATCATTGCGCTGCTGCAAAATTGTTATTGTTGATGTTGTTTGCATAAACTTATAAACTATAAACTATTTACTTAGAATTCCCCTTTTCAAATGTACACAATAATAGTTATTTATCAAATATCGATTCACGTGTTGTTGTTGTTTTTGTTGGGTTTTTTTTCATCATTTTTATTTTTAAATACAAAAAAGTCAGTTATATTTCAAGTGTTTGTTTTGACGATTGCAGCCACTTTGTTTACTCTATTTTGAAATATATGTGTGTGTGTGTGTATGTGTAATAAAATCACTGCGTTTAAATTGTTTTTAAATCTTATTTTCTCCTTTCTTCCAGCACAGAACAAAGATTGTGACTTGATTTCGGCAAATTGGTTGCTATTGTCATCTTCCTATGTTTCGTAATTGCATAAAAAGACGTTTAACATGTCCGGCTGATTCTATTATTTGGGAAAAATTACTGTTTCACCCTACGCGTGTGTAAATTAAATGACTAACAGCCACTCAGTTGCATATAGTTTTGAGTAGTGGTACACAACTGAATCTGGCTATGTTGATTGAAATCAACTATTTTGAATGAAGATAATCATGTTTAATCATTCTTTGGGTCAGCCGATTAATTTGGGACATTTGGCTGGAAATTAACTAAGAGTGATTTTAAAGTTAACTACAGTTACATGTCGACCGTGATTTGACGTGACAACGTTTAATTTGTTCGAGATAATCACTTTTAGTCAACCACTGTCAGTCAAAATGCCCAAAATTAATCGGTTAACTAGTCAGTCAAAAAATTTTCCACACGGTCAATGTCTCGATTCGTGTATTACTGTATTACTCATCGGTTTGGGTTGTCTGTGGTGTTGAGAAATTCTGTTGTTGTAGCGAAATTGAAAAGAAAACAAACGCCGTTGCTTCGCTAAGTCGATTTGATAATAATATTTGGGTTATACACTTGATCGGTCGCCGTGTAATATATAAGAATGAAAGAGGATTTTTATTTTCTGTTTGGTTTCAAAACACTTATGAAATGATCGCCCACTTACAACAATATGCATTGCAGAAGAGAAGTGCACAAATGAGCCGCTTTTATTTGCACAGATAAGCTTGTTTTGTTTTTTTTTCTTCTCTTCAGTAATTATAATTCCAATAACAAATGAATCTCTTCTTTCAAAACATTGATTATCTTGTGTGTGTGTGTGTGTATGTGTATTATGCGCGACAAATTAGATTTGGTTTGCTTAAATTTTCATTTACTTTCGGACAAAATACAAATTCGGCTAGCTTTTCACGGAAAGGAATAATTATGATTTGGTTTACTTAAAAAAAAATATAAGCTCAAACTAATTCTGCTTGAAATACACAACATTCCATACATCATACATGCAAATTTCGCTTCATTTTTTTTCTCTTCATTTTTTATTTGTGATTATTTTTTTTTCAATCTTTTTTTCTGTTTCATCCATTTGCTCTGTGTGAAATTTTGCTTGATTTTCATTTATCTCTTTCTTACTTTGTTTAATACAGAAAATACTAATAAAATAAACATTAAATTAAATGGAAAGAATAATTATAATATATATGAATATATTTATAAATTTTTCGCTGTTTATTTCTCTTTTTTTTGATCCAGCCCACTTGTTCTGTGTGTGTGTGTGTGTAAATCAATTACATTTAATATATTTTATGTATAACCAAAAAGCTATCGCCAGTGAAATCTGTGTGAGAGAGTGGAAGAATTTTCGACAATGATTAGAAAGGGTGCAACCGACACTGAAAGGGTGGTTATTGAGAAGGTAAATAGTTGATGTGTTCGATACGTACCTTTACCATAACATCACTTACAACAATTTATCGACGAGTTTGGTTGTCGATTTTGCTCATTTTCTAGCCTTCTACCTTGTCCATTTCCTTGGCTGCCGCCGCCTTCGTTCTTTGGCAATTTTTTTGCTGAAAGTACAATAGGCACATTTAGAATGATAGCAAAGGGACAAAAAGGCGAAAAATAGATCGAGAACAAAGAAGAAACAAGAAAAAACAAAAAATTGAAAGAAAAGTTTCTCTAAAAAAAGAAAAAATAGACAAAAAACTAAAGAGAAATAAGAATAAAACGCAAACTAGACCATGAACTAAAATTGAATTAGAAAACTTGGTGCCAAATCCCAGCAATCCAATGTACATACCGATTGCCAAAAATATATCGTTAACATTCATTGCAGTTTTGGCGGATGTTTCCATAAATAGTAATCCATTTTCTTCAGCATATTGTTTTGCTTCTTCGAATTCTACGACACGGCTGTTCGTTAAATCAGCTTTATTGCCGGCCAAAGCAATCACGATGTTTGGTGAAGCCTTTTCAGTGCATCGCGTGCGCAAATGATTACATGTTCATCCGTTACAAATAAGCCGGATGAATGCCAGAGACGAAGAGAATAATTAAATTAGTAAAGGATTTTTCGTGCATGAGAAATTTGGCTGGCGGTGGGTGGATGATTCATCATTTAATTACCTGTCGTTGGAGTTCTTTCACCCAGGTCTTAGCACGTTGAAAACTATCCTGATTCTGAATATCGTAGACAACGATAGCCGCCTGAGCTCCTCGGTAGTACATCGGTGCTAAGCTGTGATATCTGTTGTAAATAATTGGGATTTATATTAGTCGTTGCGTGTAAATCAAAAACTTTTTCAGCGAAAAAATCGGATAATTTAGAAAACTTTCACTTGTAACTGCGAAATTACTCACCTTTCCTGGCCAGCCGTATCCCAAACTGAAAATAAACAACAGAAAATGTACATCAGAATTGACATTTCGGATGAAAATCAATGCATCGAATCGAATTGATGCAAACAATTGCTTGACTTCACGCAGAAACAAAAATACCAAACCCAACTCACTTTCGAATTTAACGGCTGTGTCCTCCATGCAAACGGTTTGCGTCAAGAATGCAGCTCCTATTGTACTTTCTTGGAACTCATGAAATTGCCCCTTGACGAATCGCAACACCAACGATGATTTCCCTACCGCCGACTCTCCCAACAGCACCAATTTGAACTGACAGATCTTTCCTTGGGCCGAACCATTTGGTCGTTGCGCTGCATTTCCGCGTGGTGTCGATGCCATTTTATGTTAATTAAAATTGTTTTCGGCGGATTTGTTGCGTTTTTATCTCGAATTATCTGAAGCGGACGCTTTTTGTTGTTCTATCTATGGAATAAAGGTTAATGGTTATAATGGTTATTTTCATTTTTGTAGCAATTCCGTATGGAAATTTCTTCTTTCTTTCTTATTGACTAACAATTCTTGGCAAAAAATATTTTTTCGGTGGGGCTTTATCAACGCACTGATATAAAGTCAACAACAATTCATACTAATGAACGCAACAGTGACAGATGCATATATGTCATCTCGTGTCTTATTTTCTGCGGAATCCTAACCGTAAGCAAAATTTGAACGCTTGCAAAATGATTTTCAGACAAATTTTGACAAAGAGCAAAGCAACACGTAAACTCGTTCAGTATCTCGCTGTATATTTTGTTGACTTTTAACAATAAATTTTGTGACCGAGTGTATTTTGAAATATTTTGTAAACATTTTTTTTTGTTGGCTGTTCTTATCGAGAAGCTTATGTAGATAGGACCATTCGGTGTCAGTCGTAACCAATTCATTGCTCTTACACATTCCATACGCTCACACAGACACTGGTTTGCGTGTGAAAGTGTGTTGATCAGCACAAAATATGTTCATTTGTTGCATTTGCCATATCGTTGTGCTCGAATGGGCGTATTCGTTGGCATTCAATTTGCATATAATTCGCACAGATCTCCTAATTTGAATAACAAATCCAAAACGTATAAAAATCAGATCTCCACACACGCATACAACCATGCAAGCATAATGAGAAACGATTTAACTCATCACTGAGCTCAATCGTTATCAATGGGTTTTTTCTAGAATATAGATGCAAAAACCATTTTCAGATAACAACAATATCAATAAAAAAAATTTCTCAAACAATTCTCAGATTTGCGCGTTGATTTCCGCCGGATTAAAGTGCGAATGAGATAGAGCGTATACGTAGAGCAGCACACGTGACATTTCGAATTGACGTTGCTACGCAAATGCAAAGTTGAAAAACAAAAAAAATTATGGATGTTATCGTTCAATTTTATTAAACATCGATATGGCTTCGTGTTTTTCCGTCTTTTATTTATTAATAGTTCGAAGTGAATTCTGCTTTATTATTGTTTTTTCCCTCTTTTTGTTTGTTTACAGTGCTTTGAATGGTGGGAACAATGCAGTATTCTGCTGATATCTTTTCGTAACACCGCAGCAAATACACTCTCAATTACTGAATTCAATTAACGAACTTGAAATGCTTGACGCATACATGCACAGCAATACACACAATAAATACACCCGTACCAAAAAATTGGTTCGAGAACACCCGTATATACTCTCTCTCTCTCTCTCTCCCACTCGCTCACTCTAGATTAATCATGGAATTCCGAATAATCATTCCCACATTCTGATGCTACGCATCAAAATTGAAAGAATAACATACGCTTAACATGCACCGAACTAATAAACGAGTCAATGCGATTCATGACGCGCTGCCTGTGTTAATTGGATAGTTGGAATGAGAAATCGTTCAAATCGAATTGACCTAGCCACTCAAATGTCTGTGGCCTATTGCTTTTCGTCTTGCATTTCAAATGGAGCACAAATTTTATGAAGTCATCACCGAGAGAACACACTTGATTTTATAAAAAACAAATTTGACCATTGAGAATTTGATGAAAATGTATCGATCCAGAATTGTATTCCATGGAAATAAGACGAATTGAAAATTCGAGAAACTATGAACAAACTTGTTTATCTTTGCCTGATTTCATATCTCGTGAGATAGAAACTATGACAGAAGAATGGGCGTCGTAATTAAATGATGATAGAAGCTAAACTGTAGGCAATACCCAGTAATTGTAGAAAAATTTTCGATTGATGATTATCACTTGAAAAACCCAACACTCTAATTCAACACTTGGCTAAAAAAAAATTCAATAAAATTACACTGAAGCACACCACCAAGTCTATGAACTCAATCTACACTGTACGAATGAAGAAAAAAAATGGTTAAAATTCACATTTGCTTTGACATTTCGAATGAATGGAAAAATAATTGTTTTTTCATCGAATTTTAGTTTACGTTCGTTTCTTTTTCCTGTATCATACAAAAAGAGATGACGCATCGCACACAAATTGTGTATACACATTAGACCAGTCGTATAATAACGAGCAAGTGTATCGCGAGCTCCGTTGTTCGTGTGCACAGTAAGCAAACATATATAGCTAGCGACAGAGTCAACAACAGTAAAATATTGCTGAGTATCCAACAAATACGAATGAAATAGAAAATACGACGGGGTCTTGTATTGCGTTTGAAAGAATTTTAATCAGTTGTCTGTGCTGGACTTGACTGTTATGTCTGTTTTTATTCTTTCTTTCTTCTTCTTGACTTTTTTTTTACTACAGTTTGATGTTGGATACAGAAAAAAAAAACATCTACAAATGTGCCTACGGATGCGAGTGTATGTGTGTGCTTTAGTTCTATGGAAATTGACGATGGATGTCAACTTGACACAAAGAACGAAACGATTCACTTGAAAGTCATTTGTTTGTGTTGCCAGTGTGATGGTGTGCACATTCAACACGCCTTGCTTTTCATTCGCTCCGTTATTGCGAATGTAATACAATAGAAACAATATGATAACATTTATCCTTTATCATCATTTTGGTTACAGTTTATTGTATATTCGGGTGGTGCAATTAATAATGGGCTCTGTTTTCGGTCGCATTTTATCACACACATCATTTGCGCTGAGCGTGTAGTGTGATTTCGCAACACAGTTCCAAGTCAAGTGGAAAATCAGGTATTCGCTGTTAAAACGCAGTTTGCCATAGTAATTCAATCTTCTTGGCGCAGTTTGCAATTGGCAAAACAGGCAACAAAGAGAGATTGCATTCACAGTCGCTTGCAAAATGTGCATTGCACATTCATACACACACAGAAACACGATCAACCGACCACTGTCAATGACTAATAATTGATTTGCGAATGCTTTTGTTATCCAAACTTAAAATCCAAGCATTGTTCTGCACACGAGCGATTTGTATTCAAATCCAAGGGAAAAATCATTGCGATTTTTCGGTCGAGGAAAAACAAAACTGAAACCACTTAATTCCGCCAAACTGCGTTGCAAAAGAAAGGAAAAAAACAAACAGATATTAACAAACGAAAGTAATATATGGCACGATAATCTTCACACAGCTTAAGTTGAACAACTTGCAACGAAAATATCACAACGCAAAAACAACTTTTTTTTCCGTTTGTGTGTTTGTGCGCTAGAAAAATATTTTACTTTCTTTTTTTTCTGTCTCACGCCTAAATTTTGAGCAGCGCGCAAAATGTCCAGCCATAGGAATATTATTGGGAATCTAAGTCAAACACATGATAGAACTGCACCAGACACATATTTGAATCGTTTTCGTACGACTAATTTGATTTTCAGAGCTTCCTGTCTTGTTTGATTTTCAGAGCCAGTGAGAGAGACAACAAAATGTATCCAGTAAATAGGTACATGGATCGCCACTTGACTTTTCATTGTTGCGTTTTTTTTTTGCTTCTCATTTCTCCGTAATTACATTGAAATTGCACTGGCTGTGGTGTTGGTGTTTTTTTTTCTTCTCAACTTCTCTCTATCTCTCTCATGTACACGGTCTTTGCACAGCATTCGTATGTGTGACTGTGTGTATTTGGATGTGGTGTATTGTATCCGTACAAGTTCAACCCATTGGCTCTGTCACTTTCTGTTATTGTTGTTGTTGCTTTTGCTCTTTGTTCTCAATATTTTATTGAATTACATTTTCGACGCATTCGTGTGATATTCGATTCTGTTTTTTTTTCTTCGTCTCTCTGTTCGCTGATTTTTGCTCTCGTCCCAATCTGTTTTTTTTATTATTGAAGCACTTGATTTGAGCATCCGATCAGTGTGTAAATGCGATTTCGTGCAATTGCTTCAAGGAATATTTCAGTATATCGCACATACACTCACTCAGAGAGAGAAAAAAAAACATCACGGAGCTACAATCAGACGTATTTGCGTTGTTAGATGAATTGATGATGAACGCAACAGAGAGTGCGAAAAAAACAGCGAGTTTTTTTTTTCATTGAAACCTCATCAGACACCAAATTCCATTGAATTATAAGTCATTCGAAACGAGAATGGACACGATTACACAAACTAATTATGTTTTATCTTGTGTCAAAGCCCTAATGTTTTTTTTCCTCTTCTTCTTCTTCTTCTTTCTATTGACGATATGAAATGATTTTTTAGTAAAATTGATTTGTTTTTTTTTCTCTTCGTGTTTTTTGCACTCACATTCTAAAAATGAATACGAAAACGAGCTAGAAATTATCCAAGAGTCACTGGTTCACTTTTTTTATAATCACGAAATCTCTTTCTACGTTTTCTCTTCAAAAAAAAAACTTTGTATTTTTCTTTTCTTTCTTTCTCTCTATGAATTCGAAAGCGATTAGCACTGTGTAGTTCTCCTTGTGTGTGTCGAAGAGCGACGATGATTATTCAGTCCAGCTACAATCTTTCACACAAAACACTGTGCACAGCTTTTGACGGCCATATTGATTTGAGCTGAAACCATCCAGTTCTCTCGCTCGCACCACCTCTTTTGCACCACTCTGATACGAACGAGTATATGTGCGTATGAAACGTCACTGTTTTTGGGTGCGCTGCAATCGGCGAAAGGCATGTGAAATCATTTCTCGACATGGGCAACACGAACAATTTGGTATTTTGAATGCGACCAGTTGACAATTTGGAATGTTTTCTTGAGAAATTATTTTTTTTGAATCTGTTTATGAATTTGAACAGTTTTTGACACTGAGATTTATTTTGTTTACGAACATGTGTCAATAAATCAAAGTGTAGAAATGGAGCATTTCAATAAACTTTCGATTTTTATGATTGATTTCAATGCTGTTCAAAGACAATGCGTCATTTGGTTTCCATTCATGTCACTTCCTGTTTCAATGCTGGACAATATTTCATTCGAATTCCTTTGATTGCTTCCTGTATTAGAAAAGATTTTCAAAGTGTTATTTGAAGCCGTAACTACATTTTTTGAATTCTTTACCAGAGTTTTGTCAATGAAATCTACTATAAATATTGAAACCCACCCTTTGTTTCCTAAAACGTTGGAATCAGTCAACTCTGAAATAACTGTGTGAATCTCGATACTATTCGAATAGAAATGGCAAAGATTGTTTGGTTATTGTTTGCACTGATGATTTTATCATATCATGTAAGTGTGAATTATATAAGTTGCTTGTGCTTGTTTCTATAGTATAACTTCTTTTCAGACAAGTGACGGGTTTTTTATTGAGGCTCTTCATGAAATGAATTGCAGTTTTCTGCGCAACGTTCTTGGATTGAATCCAACCTATTGTCTAAAAGGAAACACTACTACTACTGTAATTTTCATGAGGGATAACGATACGATCTCAAGGACGTATCAAGAATCTGAGTGATTGCATATCGAATGCTGCCGATATCATTCATGGTCTCCATTTGCGATTTTCAAGTTTTACTTTTTAAGTGGATTTTTTCGTACAAAGGCATCATTCTAAATAGGAAAGAAGAATTAAAATAATAGATATTAATAATACATGTAATAATAATAATAATATCAATGGCATTCTACGAATATACAAAAAAAAATTTGTTTTGTGAATTTCCGATGACGGCCGTTCAGTTTTAAAATAAATGCGTTGATTTTTAGTGCTGATTCAGAATTTAGACTAGCACAGTGTATATTTTGAATTCAATAAATGAAAGACGAATGAACGAAGTATGTTGTGTGCATTTCGATCAACATTTTTTCTCAGTGGTCTCCTTTTCGATCTAAAACCTTTGACCATCATTATTATTATTACAGTTATTTTGATAAAATTGCTGCATAGTCAAAGCTGCATAAGATTAAATATAGAAAGGGACACCGCAGTAGAATCTTTTTGAGAAGCATTTGGTTTTAAGTTGTAAGAATGGGTAAAATGGTGATGGCCTTTCTTATTTCATCGCTATTTAAATACGAGGTAAGTAATCGCTGCATTTAAAAATGTATCCCGAAGTATTCATAAAGTAGACACTTTTGCAAGCAAAATGTCAATATCTCAATTTCCAGTACACATTCGTGTGTCAAAGAATTGGTAAAACATTCAGAACACGATTGACAAAATAGTCAATGAGACAAAATATGTCCCATGATATCATTGATAGATTGATCAATCGATGGGATTGATTATAGTTACATTGTAGTTAATAAATAGTAGAAAAAATCTAATTCACAATTGGGCATGCGAAGAAAAGAATTCAAATTCCAAAATTGTTTCTGCCTATCTATGTGTCAATCATCATGGTTCCTAGAGCAATTATTTGTGTCTTGATGTATCCAAAGCACATAACACATAGGATGCCCTAGTTAAAATAACCGAGAGGCTAGAAATGGAAATTAGTTTTTTGGAAATCAAAAATCTTGCGAACCTTTTTGTATGTACAAATTTTTTGAGGTGAATATAAGTTTTATCTACATTTTTTGATCAATCAATGGTATAATAATTATAGTTTAATATAAAAAATAAAAAAAAGAATTTTCTTTTTTTTGGCCATGCGAAAAAAAAATTGGTATTCACCACCAGTGAAAAAATGCATTCACCTCGAAAAAATTTTCAGACAAAGATTTTTGCACAGACTTTTTTTCGCACGAACAATTCTAAACTCGTAAGGTTAAATTTTGGAATTCCATTTTCCGAAGTATAAAAACGAGATATTTCAATAAACTTTCAATTTTTATGACTGATTTTAATGCGGTTTGAAAAAAGACAATGTCATCTAGTTTCCATTGTTGTCACCTCTTTTCTCAAAGCTGAACAGTATTTCATTTAAATGCACATTCCCATTTGTATCCGTAACTACGTTTTTTGAATTATTTGCCATTGTTTCGTAATTGAAATCTACTATAAATATCGAGACTCATCCTCTGATTCTCAAAACGTTGGAATCAGTCAACTCTAGCAAATCTTTGTGTAAAGGTCGATACTATTTGAAAAAAAAATGGCAAAGATTGTTTGTTCAGTCTTTGTGCTGATGATTTTATCATATCATGTAAGTGCGAATTGAATAAGCTGCATGTGTATTTTTCTATAATATAACTTCTTTTCAGGCAAGTGCCGGGCAAAGCGTTATGGATGGATTACAGCATATTCTTGAAGTATCGTGCAGAACTCTGAAGGCCCTTAAACAAGAGATTCCAATCTATTGTCCAAATTATAGAGATACTACCGCATCTAACGGGAGAGTTAACGATACTGTCTCAGCTCAATGAAACCTTCTTGAAATGAAACGATTCAATGTGCAGGTTCAGTTGAACTAAGCGTTTTCTGTTTATTCACTTCGGTTTATATAGTTTCGATTATGCATATTTTAAATTCATGACAAACAATATGGTATGACCTAAAACCTTCAATTGTGCATCGCACAGCAATAATGCTTTATTAAATAACCTACATAATGCTTTATTAAACAACAGTAAATATGTCGATTGCGACAGATACTTTCTGAACAATCATCAAGATATTGAATCTGAATGATTGCAATCAACAATTGTCCATATCATTTATGGTCATTATTTGCGACTTTCAAGTGAATTTTTTTTCGTGCAAAGGCATCATTCTAAAACAAAAAAATAATTGAAATAATAATAATAATAATAGCGTTCTACGAACATACAACATATCGAAAGTGAAACCGATTGAAACATTGCCCGTAAACGTTATCGATTTGTGATAACGTTGTTTTGTTCTTATTAGCCGCGGCCCATATTTGCGATAGTGATCTTAACGGAATGCAACACGCTTTTTTTCATCGATTTCCAATGACAATTGTTCGTTTTCAAAACAGGTGCGTAGATTTTGAGGCCGATTAAGAATGTAGACTGCATAATGTATTTTGAATTCAATAAATGAATGATGTTGTTGTGTGCATTTCGTTCAACTTTTTTTTCTCAGTGCTCTCATTTTCGATCAAACACCTTTAACCGTTTTAGTTGTCTTGATAAAGTCGCAGCAGAAAAAGGTAAAATAAATACAGAGACTCAAGCGTATAAAATAAGCGTCAATTGGCATGACAACTGCAGTTTCCCACCGCAGTAAAATCTTTGACGAACGTTGTATTTTGTGTTCGGTTGTAAAAATGGCTAAAATGGTGTTGGCTTTTGTTATTTTATCGCTGTTTGCATACGAGGTAAGTAATCGTCTCAGTTGAAAATGTACCACGAAAAAAATATGTTGAAATAAAAATTGTTTCTAGTTTTCGAATGGAGTTTTCATAACGTTGCCACTTTTGCGATCAAAATGTCAATATACCAATTTCCAGTACACGGTCCAACCATTGGTGTGTCAACTGCTGAACATCACCCGCAACACGACAACGCATTGGTAGAACATTCAGACAACGATTGGCAAAATAGTGAAATGGTGATGATGTCACATGGTAGATCGATCAATTGATAGCATTATAGTTCCAACAAAGTTAATAAACAGTAAAAAAAAGTAGATACAGTCGAGTTTACTGTTCGCTATAAGAAATTTCAATTTTTTTTATCGCAATGATTCCTTGATGTAACCAGGCTTGCCCGGATAAAAATAACCGACGCACTAAAAATGGAAATGATTTTTTTTGCATGCAAAAATCTTACGAACATTTTTGTATGTGAAAATTTTCTGAGATTAATTTAAGTTCTATTTGCATGTCCAAGCGAAAGAAATTTGGTATTCACCACACAATTTTTGCATGCAAAACGATGGACGCCAATTGTTTTGTATGCAAAAAAAATTGCGTCCACTTATGAAATTTGGTCAGAAGGAGATTTATGTACAGACTTCTTTTTCGCACGGCAAACTGTAAACTAGGATTAAGGTTGTAAACGTAGAAGGGCAAATCACAGACTTTTGGTGTATTATTTTGAATAATTTCTTTCTATGATTCCAGAAAAATGCCATCCATATGCTTAAATAAGGTTTTGAATTTCAAATAATCTTTTCTAGACGCATTTTTCTCAAGAGCGTCATTCCATTTAAAGAAACATTAAATCTGTTTTCCAAAAATCAAAAAATTATTGAAACCGAAAGAAAATTGAAAGTATTTACTTTACAAATGCGTAAAAAGGTTTCATATCCGTGATGCAACCACAAAGACGACAGCCCTAAGAGGAAAATAGCGACGATGTATTCATCCAAAAAGACGGAAATAGGCTAGTTCCATAAGAAATACTCACAGAATGGACACGGAACAAAAACGTAAACGGAACGGAGTTGAACTGAATGAGAAATAAAAACACTTGCACCCGTAGGTCACCTTGGTACAGAAACAAACGATAAGAGGCTTGTTTCGTCTCGTAAAGAATTCGAAAGTCACCATTTCATGGTCGAATTTCATTTTGGAAATCGGGACTCATTAATGAATTTGAGCAATTGTTGACACTGAAATTCATTGTTTTTAAGAAAATGTGTCAATAAATCAAAGTATAGAAATGGGGCATTTCAATAAACTTTCGATTTTTATGATTGATTTCAATGCTGTTTACAAAAAGACAATGCGTCATTTGGTTTCCATTTATGTCACTTCCTGTTTCAATGCTGGACAATATTTCGTTTAAATGAACATTCCTTCGAGTGCTTCTCGTATTGAAAAAAGGTATTCAAAGTGTTATTTGAAGCCGTAACTACATTCTTTTATTTCTTTGGCAGTGTTTTGTCATTTAAATCTACTATGAATATTGAAACACACCCCCTGTTTCCTAAAACGTTGGAATCAGTCAACGCTAACATTGTATGAATCTCAATACTATTTGAATAGAAATGGCAAAGATTGTTTGGTTATTGTTTGCGCTGATGATTTTATCATATCATGTGAGTGTGAATTATATAAGTTGCATGTGGTTGTTTCTTCTTTACAGACATGTGCCGGACTAACCAAAAAATTAGATGTATCGTGCATTACACTGGAGGTCCCTGATGGAGAGAATCCAATCCATTGTCAAATATTAAACACTACCACACCTATCGTGGGAGATATCGATACTATTCTAAGCAATCAACAAGTTATTGAATCTGAATGATTGCATATCGACTGTTGTCGATATCATTCATGGTCTCCATTTGCGACTTTCAAATTTTACCTTCTAAGTGCAACGGCACCATTTCAAATAAGAAAAATTGGTTAAAATATACAAAATATCGAAAGTGAAACCAGTTGCCCGTAAACGTTATCGATTTGTGATAACGTTGTTTTGTTTTTAGCCGCGACCTATATTTGCGATGGCGACCTTAACAGAATGCACTTTTTTGTCAGTTTCCGATGACAATCGATCAATTTGAAAATAAATGCGTAGATTTTGAGGTTGATTAAAAATGTAGACCATCACAATGTATTTTGAATTCAATAAATGAAGGACGAATAAACGAATAATGTTATTGATGCATGTCGATCAACTTTTTTTTCTCTCAGTGATCTCATTTTCGATCAAAAATCTTTGACCATTTTAGTTATCTTAATAAATTTGCAGCTGAAAAAGGATAAATCTAGAATGAGACTCAAGCGTATAAAATAAGCGTCAATTGGCATGACAACTGCAGTTTCCCACCGCAGTAAAATCTTGGACGAAATTTGTATCGTAAAAATGGCTAAAATGGTGTTCGTCTTTCTTATTCTATCGTTGTTTACATACGAGGTAAGTAATTGCCTCAGTTGAAAATATATGTACCTCGAAATATATTTGTTGAAAAAAAATGATTTTTTCAGTTTTCGGAGGGAGTTTTCATAACGTTGACACTTTTGCAAGCAAAATGTCAATATCTCAATTTCCAGTACACGGTTAGCCCATTGGTGTGTCAACTGTTGCAACTCACTCGCAACACGACAACGAATTGGTAGAACATTCACACAACGATTGACAAAACAGTGAAATGGTGATGATGTTCCATGTGAAATAATAATTGATAGATTGATCAATTGACGGCATTATAGTTCCATTAAAGTTAATGAACAGTAGAAAAAATAGATAATATTAGACAACTGAAATAAATGTAGAAGGGCAAAAGACTTTTGATGTATTTCTTGCAATCAATTCTTTCTACGATTTCAAAAGAACGTAATCCAAATGCTTGAATGAAGTTTGGAAATTCAAACTATATCTTTTAGACGAACAACAATAAAAAAACACTCGGGAGAGTTCATCATACCATTTTCAAAAAAATTACATGAAGTACTGTTCTTCGAAATATTGTTATCAAGTATGAATGAGAATTAATTGAAACCGAAAGAAAATTGAAAGTGTTTACTTTACAAATGTGTAAAATATGCATGTAAATATATGCTGGGGTGTACACTTATTGGTTTCATATTCGTGGTGCAACCGCAAAGACGTCAGCCCTAAGGTATCAATGCAACTCAGTAAACAGTCATGCGAATTGTAGAAAAGATGGATGAGCATTTTCCAGAATTTACCATTCAATCAGTTATTGAATTCAAATAGTTCCTGAAAAAATACGAAAATTACAGCCGCATTGTTCTTTATAGTTTTGTGCATTGCACTTGTTCAGGTAAAAAACGAGACCGCAGAGCTCCGTTCTTGAGCCGAACTTGATGAAAATTGCGTTTATTCAACATTCAGATGATATTTATATTGCAATCAAGCGATGCAGCAAGCGATATTCAAGGAACAAATTGACGTCTCAAATGTGAGCTATATCGTGCTTTTCCGAATACACATTTTCTCGGCGAAAAAAAATGTGCAAGCGCATTTCATTGGATATTGTTTTGGATTGAATACAAACAAATGGATGATTTTGATATTAACAGTTTTATTTATTAAACGAGTGCTTATCCAATTGTTGGAATTGGGCATTATTATATTATTGCGTTGTAGATCGATACCGATTAAGAACTAATCGATTTGATATTTCACTGTTTAAACGGATGGGCAACAATTTCAAAAACAAAAACAACGATTGATCAATTAGCGATTAACCACGTGCATCATTGCAAGCTTTGTTGCTTTATATCTTCTTTGTAGAAAGATGCATATCGAAAGTGACAAATAAAAATATGAATTCATTTCCTTAATTCATTTCGTTGATCCGATCTTACAAACTTTTTTCTCTACATTCTCGAAAGAGTCACCACCATATAAAAGGGACATGATTTTCTATTGCATTCAGAGTTACTTCGCAGTTAGTCATTGCGCGCTTTTGAGTTATATTCTTGAAGAAGTGGATTACAATTAAAGGTGAGAAAATGATGAAATTATTTTGGGCCCTTCTCATTTTAATGCTGTCCGCCTATCAGGTAATTAACGACGTTTCCATTTGTTTTTTTTTTTTTGTTTTTTCATAAAACCGTCAATCTGATTTTCACAGGCCACCGAGGGATTTTTCTTCACTCTCCCGTTCTTGTGCCAGAACAATACCGCCCGATTCTTCATTAAGCCATGGCTTTGTCAGCTATTCAACAGAACTTCACTTGAACCAACCGATTTTCTGTCGGAAATTGAGCCACCCACTTTATAAATGAAGCTTGGAAATATGGATTGTACAATCGAATGAAAATAAAATGTAGTTCTGCAAAAGCAAATTGCGTTGTTTGTCTATAGTATAGACTCTATACTGAATTCCGGAGCATTATGATGACGTTTGAATATTGAAACTTGTCACACATATCGATAGCATCCATGAGAATTTTTTTTTCAAAATTGATAAGCATGTAACTTAGAAATCACCCAATTTTATCAAGGTTCAACGTTGAGATGTATTTGTTATTTCGTTTATTTTCATCATTTTTTGTTTATTTGATTAAATTAATAACGTTTTAGAGTCTAACGTTAACAAAGGCATTTAAAGTATTTTTTGCATAAGTTTCAAATATTGATTGATCACATCGTCTTCCAAATGTTCACTGAGTGCAATGTTGTAGTAATTTTTTTGTGTCAACAAAAGATCGGTATAAATTAGAGATGATTAATGTGTTTCATATCAGTTTTATCTAATTGCTCGAGAATTTCAATCGAAATCGAAATTTGTAGGATGAATAATAAAATCATTTTCATAGTTTTGATCGTGTCTTTGATCGCTCAACAGGTATAGTTGATTTCATTGTGAACTGTTTTGAATCGAGTACATTTCTGTTTTTTCTGAATTTCAAGAGTTCTAGTGGAATACTTGAGTTGTTTGCAGCAAAATGTGAAAAGTATCCATGGCTCATAGCTTGTAAAGTATACAGCAAAATAGTGACGACTACGATTTCTACAACCGCATCGACCATTTCGACTGGTACCTAAATCTAAATATGTAAACATTGGACATAAAGAATTGAATTCGATTGAATAAATTCGGAAAATGGAATCGATGTGCTTTTAAAATTATTGAGTAAAAATGCTGCTGATGATTCCTTGTGTATCAGAGAATTTTCGGTGATGATCAAATTATTCGTTTGTGTTTGTTCCTGCATTGCTCAGAACAAAATTTTAGCTCATGTATGTGCACATGGGATCAAACTCGAAAATTTGAATTTTTTTTTAGGAAACTTTAAGAGTGGCATGATTTCAACTATGTGCCTGAAAATATGTTTTTTTTTTTAAATATTTTCTGTAACACACCAATATTTTTCAATCACTCGCAACCGTTAAGTGAACATTGAAGTGAAAGTACTTCTCATTTTGATCAAGTCTTCTACAATTTTATAGCTACAACTGCCTCAACAACAGTATCAACAGCTTCTACTGCTCCAACAACAGCCTCGACACCTTTTACTACATCAACAATATCGTCGACAGTCTCGACGGAATCAACATGAACGACATCAATGACGTTTTCGACGGCATCAACTGCTTCAAGATAAAATATTTCATGAAGAGACAAAAATAATTGCATTAACTACATAGAGTTTTCATCTTTTACATTATTATATATTTATCGACATTCACCCATTTCATGATTAGTTGCAATAAATCGACTTTACCCAAAACGAAATTCTACTCAGCGACGCACGTCACCAGTTGATCGGCTGGTACACAGCACATTTCACCATTTGCTACTTCGGTCATACATTCGTTCATGCGAATCAAAGCAAACGGTGGCTCGTGTGTACGGTTTACCAGTTACAACGTGTGTGCGAAGCTGTCGAATTATTATTGCGAAGTGAATTGTCGTCTTAGTTCGCGCCTCATGTACACACGTTCTAACTGTTAAGCCGTACTCACACTATACTCGCATCAACGAATATATGACCGAAGTCGCAACTGGTGAAATGTGCTGTGTACCAGCCAAAATTCTGGTAACGCGCATCGCTGAGTAAAGTATTCTCTTTGTTGAAATTTTAAAATATTCCGATTTGATGAGTCACTTTTGTTTCTAAGAATTACCTTTGCTAAACAAAACCATCGCATCATTATTTTTTCGATGAAAACGATTTAAAAGCAAATATTCTGTTTGAAACGGATTCGAAAATATTTACATTTCAATTGCGCGTATGGAAGTGTTTCATCTGTTCTTCTGCGAAATTTTTTTGTGCGTGTCCATTCTGCATTTGCGAATTGAATGGATTTGGTGAGTAATTGCATTTGTGTAATGAAGTTTCGAGAATATAAATGAAGTGATTCGCATCAATGGAATCATATCAGAATAGCATCTGCAAAGCTAAGCATTCAGTTGATAATTCATTTTGAATCCGAATAAATCATTTCAATTTATTAAAATGAACAGCAAGACGGCTTTAATTGTCCTAACTCTATGCATCATTTTCGCCGAGGTGAGGATCATTCCAATTGTTCGGTTATACATTCATTATTTCAAACTAATACAACATTTTTAAAATTTCCTTCACATTTAGCACGTTATTTCCCGACGTTGCCACAGTGAAACTGGGAGAAACCGACGAGAAAGGAATGGTGGTCTATTCCGTCAAGACGGTAGATTCGATCGATTCTATCCAGGCGGTGGATTTGGACCAAGAATTCCAATTCCAAATTCATCAAATATTTCCCAAACTGGACTGCCAAGTACACAGCCACTTGGAGGACAGAATGGACAATTCCCACCAATACCGATTGCTGCTAATCTAACTCAAAATGGACAAAATAATACACCAGTTTTACCTCAACCAATACGTCCAACAGTATGAAGAATATCTCAATCAAAAATACTAAGATAACAGAACAATATCTTCTACATATTACTTTTTCTCTTCGCCTGCAGGCTAAATTTCATTTTGTTTTTATTATTCTAGATATTTGCAATTCTTGTTCAATTAATTCAAAACAAGTTGATTTAATAAAATAAAAAACTTCAAAATTCAGCTGAAAGAAGAGTATTTGCATTTAAATTATTTCCCTCAAACGATCATATCTAGTGCGGAATTCATCCGAATCATTAACGAGGATCGTTTATTGTTATTTTCAACCATGAACAATTTCGAAAGAATACTCAAACAATACGTTTTATCAACACACAAAAAACGATCACCCATTTTCGTTTATTTTTCTACAGAAAACACAGCTGCCTCTGAGAAAACACGTAAATATATGTATTGACATTTAAATGAATGTGATCGACTGCAACTCTTTATCAAGAATATACGTCGTACATCGCACGTGTGCAAATCGATGAGCCGATAATGACGGAATGAAATGAATACGATTGCGTTTTTATCAGTTGACAAATTTTGATTGCGTCTTAATCGGAGAGGCTATTCTCATCGAGTTTTCGTTAATTAATGACGAAACCATCATCTTGGATGTGAGCTTTTTCAGAACATGACTGTCGATTATTACGTTGCACTTAAAAAATACGTACAACAATAAAATTTCTGGCACTCTGCCTACAAAACATGGAAAGTAAAAAAAAGGAAGTTGAAGACAATGTATAAACACGTTGATTCATATGATAACGTTGCATTGTTCTTAGCCGCGACCTATATGTGAAATGGTGATCCGAAGAAAATGCATACATATATTTTTGTCAATTTCGAGTGAGAAATCTTTGTTTCCAGAATAAATGCGTAGATTTTAAAGCTGATTAGAAATGTAGACCAAAATAAAAATGTTGACTTCAATTTGAAAAAAATTCACCATTAGGTTGTACATCTAGCTGGTTTTTAATCATTTTTATGCTCTTAATCTTGATCAATGTCGCAATCGAAAAATTTGAATATTCAGAGAGATTTCAGTGTATAAATAAAACATCAGATAACATGGTAGTTGCAGTTTTCCCTCAGACGAACATTGCATATTCGGTTCACGAAAATGGCTAAAGCGGTGTTGGCCTTTCTTATTTTATCGTTCTTTGCATTCGAGGTAAGTAGTCAGTCTAAAAAATAAAAAAACTAGTAAATTGTTCAATTGAAAATGTACCACGAAAAATATTCTTTCAAATTTTTACTTCAGCTTTCGGTGGAAGCTTTTATTACGTTGGAGGTTTTGGTGAAGAAATGTAAATGCGCTAATTTTGAATACGGCATCCAACCAGTAGTGTGCCAACTGTTGAACATCTCAACCCACGATGAATACGACTACATGACTTTTCCCCCAGCGGACTACGACAGCCATAATGATAATTAATATAAACTCTCATCTAATTATCCACCACTATGGGAAAATTTGTTATAGCTCAAAATCGATTAAACGCTGATCGACTTGATAGTTCATAATAATAAAATAAGTTTGAAACACAAAAAGAATGATCGATCAATTAGCATTTAGCTACGTGCATCAATTGTTTTGTATTTCTTGCAGAAAGATTCATATCACAAGTGAGAAATTGGAAAAAAAAGTTAGATAAATTGAGTGAACAATAAAAATATGAATTTATTTCCTTGATGTAATCGTACAAACTTTTTTTTCTACATTCCCTGAACAAAGCTCCCATCTGAAAAATTGTAAGAGTCGCCACCATATAAAAGGGACATGATTTTCTATTGCATTCAGAGTTACTTCGCAATTATTCATTGCGCGCTTTTGAGTTATATTCTTGAGGAAGTTGATTACAGTAAAGGCCAGAAAATGATGAAATTATTTTGGGCCCTTTTTATTTTAACGCTCTCCGCCTACCAGGTAATTAACGACGTTTCCATTTGGATTATTGAAAAAATAATATCATAAAACTGTTAATCTGATTTTCACAGGCCACCGAAGGATTTTTCTTTAATATCCCATTTTTGTGTCAGAATAATACCGCTCTGTCCTTCATTAAGCCATTCTTCTGCAGCACTTCACTTGAACCAACCGATTTTCTGTCGGAAATTGAGCCACCCACTTTGTAGATGAAGCTTCGAAATATGGATTTTGGATTGTACAATCGAATGAAAATAAAATGTAGCAAAGCATGTTATTGAGCAAAGCAAATTACGTTGTTTGTTTTATTGAATTCGGGGACGTTATGATGTAGTTCAAAAATAGTAAATATTCTATTCAAATTGTTGAAGCGAATTTCCAGTTTGATTGAATCTTTTGTAATTTTGAAGATGCCAAATATTTCAAAACTTCAACTGAATCTTCAACACGCTTTGAATGACACTAATGACTTCTCTTTGTAACAGAAACCATCGTCATTTTTTTACATATTACTTCTCCCTCTTTTGGTTCCGTCTAAATGTTTAACTTTCACATTTTTTCGCATTGATCATGGAAGTAGTAGTAGATTTCATTTATGGATAAATATACCGTGTTTAAATAAATAAAATCAGAAGAGAACAAACTTATTAATTTGCTACTTTATTTGTTCAATATAAATAAGTAAATATGCAAAGGTGTTCTGTTCAAATGTTCTGTTGAATAAGTTTCAAACATTGAAGAAGTAGGAGACAACTCGTGGATTAATTTCCTTTATTGAATTGGTATAAATAGCGGAAGTTCGATATTCCGCAATTATTCTCGTCTGCGGCTTCAATAGAAAATCTCCAATTTCATTGAATTTTGATCAAGTCTGGGAGATGCAACGTAAAATAATTTTAATTTTTCTAATTGTTGCGCTGGTAGCACATCAGGTATGGCTTGAGTTTAGGTTCGAGATAGAAGAGTTGATTTGAGTGGATTCAACAGATTTTTCTCTTTTGATTCAAGTGTTCCGGAAATCTCTTCGGATACGGATTGTTCCAGAAAAAGTGTCAGAGATACCCGTGGCTTTGGAGCTGTCGGTTATTTGGTCTAAAAGCTAGTACCACCACCATCACTACTAGTAAATCAATCCAGATTTTAAATAGTTATTTTCAACTTTTCGGATACCAAACCGAATCTATTTTTATAGAGTGATTTTAATTCCTTTAATTTTTTCTGCAGTTGCACCCAATGCGGCTACTACTAGTAGATCTGGTATCTTTTTCTTTCCATCGAATTGATTCGTTGACAATTCTGAATCATGATAATTTTATTAAAATACGTTGGTCTGAATGTGCAAAATTTCCTCTTATTGTCATTTATTTAAAATACCTAGCTATGTAAACCTTGATCATGCGTCATCATATGAAACCAATAACATGCGTGAATGAATGAACATGATCGATGACGTACTTTTCATTTGTCGAATATGTGATGCAAGGATAAATTGCAGTAGCCAATCGTGTTGATCATATGAAAATCTGATGATTCAGAACTCTGAGAGACAACATGTATTTATGGATTCTTTCTTTGAGCTTTATTCCAGATTTATACTTTTTTAATCTGAAAATAAAATGAAGTTGAGCAACATAAAATTACTTTGTTTGTTTTACTGATTTTCAGAGCATTATGGCGACCTTCCAAAAAGCTAATATCGTATTCCGATGTTTTCCAGTTTGATTAAAGCGTTCATATTGTTATAGATTCTATATATTTCACGCCCTCAACTGCATCGATTACATTGACACTAAAGACGTCTTGTAGCGACAGAATCCATCAAATGTGTCACGGTTTATAGATAACTCTTTCGCGTCAAACCGGCTTTTCTTTACAAAATAAAGTTCACAATATTTATTGATTCTATCGGATGAGTCTTTTTGTTTCGCACAAATTCTGGCGTGGCTGAATAAAACCGTTGCATCATTATTTTTTTGATTCAAATGATTCATAAGTAAATTGTCTGACTGAAATAGAGTCGAAAATATTTACATTTTGTAATTGCGCATACGAATGTGTTTTTTCTGCTTTTTTACGGAAAAAAATAAAATACACATGTCAATTTTGCATTTGTGTAATGAAATTTTAAGAATATAAATGAAGTGATTCGCATCAATGGAATCATATCAGAATATCATCTGCGCAGCTAAGCATTCAGTTAATCATTCATTTTGAATCCGAATAAATCATTACAATCGCTTAAAATGAACAGCAAGGTGGCTTTAATTGTCCTAGCTCTGTGCATCATTTTCGCTGAGGTGAGAATCATTCGGTTGTTCGTTCATATATTCATCATTTTGAAGTAATTTATTTTATTCGTGTTTTTACATTCAGACCGTGAAATCCCAACCTGCACGAAACGGCAGAAACGGTAAAGACGGAAAGGATGGAAAAGATGGAAGACCAGGAAGAGACGGAAACAACAGGAGAGATGGCGAAAATGGAAGGAACGGAAAGAATGGTGAAGACGGTGAAGACGGTGAAGATGGTGAAGATGGCGGAAACGGAAAGGATGGAAAAGATGGAAGGAACGGAAGAGATGGAAGGAACGGAAGAGATGGCGAAAACGGGCATCGAAGAAACTCCGATCGTTTTGATACTCATCACTATTTGCATAACCCGAACCAAGCTAGAAATCCATGAAACATTCCACAAACTGTACCCAGTTGGAAATTCTAAGTTGACGAAAAAATGCCTGAAAAAATTGCAATTCTTGTAACATCTTGATTCAATAAAATACAAATCTTCAAAGTTCAGCTGAAAGAAGTGTGATTGCATTGCAATTAGTTTCATTAAGATTTCATTTTTTGTTTTGAATTCATTCGAATTATTTACGTTTTCGAATCATTCGATCGTTTATTGTTATTTAAACCATGAACAATTTCGAACGTTTACTCAAACAATGCTTTTTATCCAACCAAAACAACCGATCAACCATTTTCGTTTATTTTTCTACAGAAAACACAGCAGTGTCTGTGAAAACACGTAAATAGATGTATTGCCATCGATTGCAACTCTTTCTCCAGAATATGCATCATAAATTGCACGTGTACAAATCGTTGAGCACAATCGATGAATCGATAATGACGTATTATGACGAAATGAATCGAGATTTTATAAATTTATAAATTTTGATTGAGTCCTAATCGGAGAGGTAATGATTCTCATTGAGTTTTCGGTAATTAATGACGAAATCATCTTGGATGAGGGATTTTTTTAGAACACGTCGAAATGTGAAAGTAATCCATGGCTTTTGAATTGTCAACTTTAAAGTCGATTTATACCAACTCAGTTGTTAAACGAAAGTTTTAGATTTTGAACATTTTCATTATAACTTTTTTTACTTTTCTAGGGTACAAGGTTGAACCAAGCTACTACTGTTCTATACATGCCAATTTTTAATTAATTATATCAACTGACTTCTGTGAATATACACATTTGAAATAATAATTTGCTAATTTGCTTTGAATAGAATTTTATGCTATGAACATAGAAAAAGAATTGTCTCATTTTTCCCAGATTACAAGCTGACGACACTTCAGTGCAAACATCATTTGAGCGCTCGCAGCGCCACGAACTCTCGTATCATTTTGTATTGACTTTTCGATAGTTCATGAGTTCGCCGTAGACTTCGTCAAAACGTGTCGTCCCTTTGCCAGATTATTGTTATCTCATTCAAACGGTCAAATGTCAATGCTAAAAACAAACTTCGATCATTTCATGGTCTGGAATTCGAAAAACTTGATCGAAAAATCGTTAAAAAGGTACATTAACAAAATAAACAAAATGAAATTGTATTATTTTTACGCTGTTTTGACTTATAATAATCGAACGAAATGGATATTTCGCCGTGTCTGCGCAAGAATTATTGAGCATTCGGCATCAGAGATATTTTGGTACTCTGTGCGCATTTTATGAAGATGTTTTAAAAGCAAATATTTTTTAATTACTTTGGAGTTGAAAATATTTATTTTTCACTTGTACGTATGCAAGTCTAACTGAAAACATGAATACACGGTTAAAGTAAATTCCGTATGTGTTGCTTAAATGCATCTGTGTAATGGAAATTTTAGGAATATAAAAGAGCATACGTGCATCGCAAAGATCACACCAGAACAGCATCTGTAACGATAAATATTCAAGTTATTATTGAATCGACGCAGCGTTTACAAGATGAAAAATAAAACGTCTTTAATCATTTTTATTCTTTTTATCGGTTTGATCGATGTAAGTAGCCGTTTCGTTATACGTTCAAAAGTTTTTAGTCAAATTCTTACTTTTTTCTATTTAGAACATATCTTCGGCACCTTGTGGAGGAGATTTTTGGGGTTTTTGGCCATGGGAGTTTCTTCAGCTATTTAGCTCTCCCATTCAACCGCAAAATCCGCCGCCTATGCAACCAGCACCTGCAAGTCCATCCACACCTGCGCCAAATCCGTCACCACCATCTCAACCGAATGTACCAGCAATGCCAACTCCAGTAGTAAATACACCACCTCCATCACCCACGCAGACAACACCTACAACAACTATACCTCCTGTACCACCCGTTACGACTGTACCAACACCACAAACACAACCGCCACCAGCTTCGCCGAATGTACCACCAGTGAATACGATACCGCCTGAAGTTCCAACCGCTCCAGCTACAGTCCCAACTATTCCAACACTCTGATCATTTCAAATATAAAATGATTCGAAAGTTCGATCATCATGAATACAATATCGATTAAATCGACGAATCTCTGTTTTTCATTTATTCTCTTCTCCATGTATCTACATAAGCTACATTGAACAGTTTCAATAAAAAGAAGTAAAACACAGGAAATGAACGAGTTTAAATCAAGTTTATTTTTCACTACCAATGCGATTAATTTTATCGAAGACAATAAGATTGTCAACATCTGATGTATATTGCCGTGTTGCAAAAATTGAAAGTGGTTGTCATATTTGTTGGCATTATTCAATATTCATATTGTTCATTATAAAGTGTTCAATACATTTCACGTGTCAATCTTGAAATTGAAATTGGATTAACAAAAAAAAAATGACATCCGAATTCTCTCTTAATTTCTTTATTGTCAGCAAATATATACAGCTGGGTACAGGAAAAACAAGCAAAAACAATTTCGATAATACCTTAATGAATGTGATCGTTTTAAGCTCAGTGCTCTAACTTTTTGTGGTATACGAACATCATGCATTGAAGTCGATTTGAAGTGGGCAAAATATTGAACAAAATCGATTCTGTCAAACTGGGAGAGTAGAATTATGTTCTTTTAAAGAACTTCTTTATTACAACTTTAAAAAGCGATGCAACAACAAATGACGAAATATGCTCGGCTTCGTCAACGTGTTTAACTTTGACTACCCGGGTGAACGCGATACGCTTTGATGAAAGCCTACAGTCGTTCGATGAGGCTTTCATAATTTTTATATACATTTTAAATACTGAACGCCTAGGCTTTCAATGCTACGAATGCACGAAAGAAGTGAGAATAGCAATGAAAGCCTAGGCGTTCAGTATTTAAAATGTATATAAAAATTATGAAAGCCTCATCGAACGACTGTAGGCTTTCATCAAAGCGTATCGCGTTCACCCGGGTATTTTTTGACATTGATCATGAAATTTCTTCTCAGTATTAGGTTTTATTTATTTATATGCAGAAAAATACCAAGTACCATATTCCAATGAAAATATTAGCAAGGAACATGTTTCAGCGGAAAAATTTAATGTTTCTAAAGCTTATTACGCCGCATTCTTTAGTACCATTTGTGTTTGTATTCCAGAACTCACTCTCTTTTATACGAATAATTTGGATGTTTTTAGATGGCGATAGCTTAGTAAACGTGTTAAAATATTGATTAGTCAATGAAAATCTCAAGGTGAGAATGTAGCCCACTTATTTGGAATTCATAATTAAATTACTACGCTATTTGTTCAATACAAATAAGCGAATATGTTAAGATGTTCAGAAATGTTATTCTATTGAATTAGTTTCAAACATTGAAGAAGTAGGAGCCAGTTTGTGGATCAATTTCCTGTATTGAGTTGGTATAAATAGCCTTTTCAAATTTTCTAGCTACAATGGCCCCGGCAACTTCCGCAGGATAAAAACCATAGATCCATTGATGTCATACTACAGACCATGAATTTTCACCGTTAGTTTTATCTTCACTCCATAAATTGATTTGTCTACATTCTACAATTCTGAATCATGATAATTTTGAATAAATTTCTTTGGTCTGAACTCAAAAATGTGCTAAATTTCTTTTTGCTGTCATTTATTCAAAATACCTGGCAAAGTAAAGCTTGCGTCATGAAATGAAACCAATTACGTGCGTAATGAGTAAACACGATCGATTACGTATATTCCATTCGTCGAATATATGATGTGGTAGTCGATCGTTTCGATTATAAGAAATTCGGATGAAAGAATCCTGGAAGAAATGCGCATTTTGTTCAAATTTAATGATGAAATTTTTCTGTGTAAATTAAGAGCTGTATTAAAAGTAATTGCGATTGTTTACATTTTACGTGTGTCATAAGGATTACAAATGAAGCGTTTCACCACGACTAAATAGACGTATACATTTTGCACCTGATATTGCATCAAAATAAACGTAAAACATAACAGCTAATTTTTAATGATATAAAAAGAGACACTGATTTCATAGGTATCATACCAGGATAGTTACCGAGCAGCTTCATATCAAAGCAGTCATCGATTCTGAATAAAAACAATTCACGTCATGGTTTACATGAAAGTTAAAATTATTTTCTTTCTTCTCGTCGCTTCTACATTCATCGAGGTAACGAATTGCACAGATTTCTAAATCATATAAAAGAAAGTGAAAATTTAATTCCATTTTTTAACCTAGAGCGTTTTGTTGGTGCCCTCTCGAGGAAGAAGTTTTGGATCCTCTGGAGGAGGAGAAGGAAGAGGAGGATGTCATGGAAGAAAACCAAGGTAATTTTATTCAAAAAATAAGTGTGCTAATTTCGAAAGTGTGCTTACATGCTTAGAACTGTTAACATAAATAATAGAACAAACAAAAACCTCAGAATATTTGAAAGAAAACTTATCATGTTCGTTCATTCAGTTAATTGCAAATATTGGAAAAGCGAGCATTTTTTCAAAATATTTCTCTTAATAGTTAGTAGACGGCTTAGAGTGCGCTATCAACACTTTTTAATGAATAATGCTGTTCAAAATTTACCAGGCCTACCTTTGTTCAACCTATGCCACAAAATCCTCAATCGCCGCCCCAAACGCCGCCTTCTCAAATTCCGCCTTATCTAATGGCGCTCTTTCAGCAATTTGTAGCTGCACTTGCAGCTGCAGCTACAGCTCCACCTCCAGCAAATAATGGGACAGCCTAATCCACCAGCGTAATACCTGTTATATGAACTGACATCAAGCGTCCCCCGGCAAATCAAGATTATCTTACCGATCCTACTTTTAAGATATCCATGGAAAGTGCACTTTCATGTCGAAATTCCAATTGATAACAATGTCAAAATTCAGTTTTAATAATGTGTTTTTTTTTCTCCAAAATATTCAATAAAGATTTTTCTTAAATGGGCTAATGCCAAATCAGCATCCAAAGACTGCATTTTGTGATTTTCGACTTAAGCATGGCATGAAATCATCATTTGATTGTGGCAACCATGATGAAGTTTTATTGGCAGACATTTTAAATGAGTAGATGGAAATCGGTATCATGCACCAGATTCCATAAACGGTCCACCACAATGGCTTATTTTCAATGGTTTTCATTTCCACTTTCTCAGTCGAACTTTGGCCCCAATTTCAAGGAGAGAGAAAAATGTATAGGAGTTAACGTACCTCGTTTTTCTTCATCAAACCATAGAATGAACAAAAAATTTAAACATTTTGGTGGACTTATGCTATTTGCTAGAAAGTGAAGTGCATATATTTTCTCAGTACAAAAGAGCCATATTGAAATGAAATTTCGCTCAAATCTATTGTAGTCAAAGAATTTTCGAAAAAAATCGTATTTTTTCAATTTGTCTGCGTTTTTGGGTTTCTGCATTTTTTTTTTCTGCATTCGATTCGGATACCGCATTGAAGGTATTAATTTCGTTAAATTCACATCAAGAGAATAGCGATTGTTGACATTTCATGTGTGTCATAAGGACTATAAATGAAGCGTTTCACCACGACTAAATAGACGTATACATTTTGCACCTGATATTGCATCAAAATAAACGTAAAACGTAAGTTAATTTTTAATGATATAAAAAGATGCACCGATACCATAGATATCATAACAGGATAGTCACTGAGTAGCTTCATATCAAAGCAGTCATCGATTCTGGAGAAATATTTTTCACTTAAATTTTGAACCATGAAAATCAAAGTTATCTTCATTCTTCTCATTGTTTGTGTATTCATTGAGGTAAGGGATTGCATTGTTTTTATATTTATATAGAAGAAAATTCATTTATTTTTTTGCCTTAGAGCGTTTTTTTGTTGCCTTGTAGAAGACGACCTAGAGGATGCAATTCAAGGTAATTTGATTCAAGAAATAAAAGTGTTAATTTCGAAGATGTGTTTAGAATAGTCAACATAAACAATAGAACAGCTGAACACATTAGGAAATTTTTACGAAAAAAATATTCGAACGAACTCGTATTCGTTCAAGTCAATTCTGAAAGATTCCTCTTTGTTCGGCATAATAGTTAGTAGATAGCTTTAAGTGCACTAACAACACCTATTAATGAATGATTCTTTTTACAATATATCAGGCCACCTCCCCAAACGCCACCTCCCCAAACGCCACCTCCCCAAACGCCACCTCCTCAAACGCCACCTCCCCAAACGCCACCTCCTCAAACGCCACCCCCTCAAACGCCACCTCCCCAAACGCCATCTCCTCAAACGCCACCTCCCCAAACGCCGCCTAATCTAATGGCGCTCTTTCAGCAATTTATAGCTGCGCTTGCCGCTGCAGCTCCAGCAACAACTCCACCAGCTTAATATGTTTATTCATTGCAATACATAAATTGATGTCAAGCGTCCCCCGGCAAATCAAGATTATCTTACCGATCATATTTTTAAGACATCCATGGAAAGTGCACTTTCATGTCGAAATTCCAATTGATAACAATGTCAAAATTCAGTTTTATTAATGTGTTTTTTTTTTTTCAAAATATTCAATAAAGATTTTTCTTAAATGGGCTAATGCCAAATCAGCATCCAAAGACTGCATTTTGTGATTTTCGACTTGAGCATGGCATGAAAGCATCCTTTGATTGCGGCAACCATGATGAAGTTTTATTGTGAGTCCAAGAAAACGAAAGAAATACTTCGAACAAATAATGTACACAGCTGAAGTTATTTTAAATGGCAGACATTTTAGCTGATCGTTGCCGTCAATTCGTCTTATCTTATATTTTGCACACATTGCGATCGAACGTTCGAGCAAGGTTTTCTTTATCAACTTTTCGATTCCAAAATATCAACAGCTATTAATCACAAAAGTAACATCAACACTCTGATTTTACAGTTTAGAATTGTCAGTTTTATTTCAATCGATTTTTCTTTAAATTACATTTTCAAAAATAATAACTTAACACTAAAATGCAATTGCTATTGTTTTTACCTCTGTTGGCTGGTTGAATGTTGGTACGATTGAAAAAAAAATGACAAAAGAAATCGCTTCTTGTGTATGGACACAATTACAATGAATCGTCGCACGAACGATCGACAGAACGAATGAATATGTGTTTTTATTGTTGTTGATTCACATTTATATATGGGATATTTAAAAAGCGCGTTGATATAACGTGAACGAGCAAGAGATAAGAGCACAATGCGATTTCTCAACAATACATAAAATGCAGACGTGTGAAATTTTAATCGTTTCGAAAAATGATCTTGGTGTGAAATAGATAGACGTGTTCACGTGGAAATGAAGAGAATAAGAAAAAGAAAACAGTTTATGGATTTTAAAATGAGGACAGAATCTACATTGATCGAGTTCATTCAAAATTTGATCGTTTTTCTAACTGACATTCACAATTATGTCGCTCAAGCACTTAAAATCGATACCATACTTTAAAAGAAATGAAAACCAAAAACAAAACGAATAAATTATTACGCCAAAGTAAAAAAAATGGGTGATAAACTGTCACAATGTCCAGTCCTTCAAATCAAATCGATTCTATTCGATATAAGTGTGGAATTTTCAATGGAACTAAAACTCTCGACTAGCCGTTTCTTCTTCTTTCATTTAATCTTTTCGTGGCTTTCGCTTTCGTGCACCGTCTTTAGGAACTGATTCTGGGTTTGTCTCAATCTGAAAAAAAATACAAACGATTTAGAATCATTATCTAAAAGTTTTCCATCGAATAAGTAAAATTACATCGTCTACATCTTCATCGTTTTCATCGTCTTCATTTTGCAATGTTGTAATTGGCTCTTCCAAATCCATTTTGCTGGCTGGCCGAGAAGTGCTCTTAGTTTCAGCTTCTTCAACCTCAAACTCTTCTTCAACTTCTTCGTCGTCTGGTTGCACTTCATCAGTCTTCTTTGCCTTTGCTTTTGCTTTCTCTTGACGCGGTGAATCCTGTTTTCAGTGGGGAACGGATTAATTGTTTGTTCATATTTGAATGAAGCTCAAGGTAGCGGCTATCACTGATTGGCAAAGCCTAAGATACGAGCAAAGCAATAGCTATTGGGAGCATTCGCTACATAATTACCTTGTTAAAGCATCGGAAGTAAACGAATAAGGTGATTGGTAAACCACCAGCTAATACAAATACAGCCCAAAGCCATGGCTTGTCATCGGTTATTTTCAAAAGACGTTGCACAATGGTTTCCTACATGTTTTCAGGGGAGATGAGATACAAAGCAATGGATATGAGTGCGATAAGAACTAGCGTGATACTACTAACTACGGAATATAAATTAATATTAAAATAAAGGGAGCTATATGTGGTAGGTACTTTACAAGTAGCCTAGTTAGTAACTAGTAGTTACTGTAAATCGATACGACAATGGAATAAAAATCGAAATTGATCAAAATGAGCGATATTGGGAACATTTGCTGAACAATCGAAAATAGCTATGGATTCTATGTAAACGCATTGATTTGCCATTTTGTTTGAATTGTGAGTACCTCGCGTATGCGTTTCCACAAATACAACGAATAGATGAAAATCGGTATCATGCACCAGATTCCATAAACGGTCCACCACAATGGCTTATTTTCAATGGTTTTCATTTCCACTTTCTCTGTCGAACTTTTGCCCTAATTTCAAGAATATATTTTGTTGATGATTCCTTTTTGAACTTTGACAAGTGGAGGATCCACGTTATTTGCCAACTTTTTTTGGTTGTTTTTAATCACATCTTTTTGTTTCCTCTTATTCTAATACATTTTAAAATGAATATTAAAAAAAAGGAATTGATTTCCATCAAAACTCACCGATTCCAAATCAATTTGTTTGCGTTTCAAGCCATAAGTGACTGCGGCCCATTCTTCGGCAACGATGTAATCGTCAGTGATGAGCAAATTATCGAACAAAATGTTGTTTGACATTGACCACAATTCGAGACCAATGGCTGACTGTTGAGTAAAATGTATTGAAATTTGTTCAATCTTCCCATTAAATTCTGTTCAATACTTACAATTGTTGCCATTTTGAATGGGTTCGGATCTTCGAAGTAGTTTGGATTTGGTATACGCTTTGGTGCCCATTTGCCTTGATAGTTTGGATTATCGATGAGTGGTGCACGCCATTTACCACGATATTTCGGGTTAGCAACCAAAGGTGCTGACCATAGTCCACAGCCGACAACTTTCTCACAGATAGGGTTTGGAATCAATGGAGCTTCCCATTCACCATCAATTTCAGCATCCCAGTCATCTGGTTTCTTGGCCGCTGGATCGGCGATCATTTCTTCTTCATCATCAAGCCATCCCTCTGGTTTGTTTGCGGTGATGTCTGGGATTTGTGGTGGTTCATTTTCATCCCAATCTTCTGGTTTCGATGCAGTTGGATCGGGTATCTAATTGGAACATAGAGTGGATAGAAGTTTTAACTCAATTGAAAGAAATGCAACTTCATTTGTGGAAGAAAAAAAAGTGATTTCGAAGCAAAAACAAACAAATTTGGGAAGAAAAAATCAATTTTTCGAAAGAAAAATCCTATTTCTGTGAAAAATGAAGACTCATTTTCCTGAAACATCCGTCGATTTCTCTTACCTTCTCACGTTCATCCCAGTTTGCTGGTTTGAAATCTTTTGGATCGTCAATTTCCTTTGGTGGGTTAACGGGCGGTGTGAAATCCGTGAGCAACGAACCTTCATTCACAATTTTATGATCGACGCTAATAGTGTAAGTGTTGTCCGGTCGCACGACCAATTGGTATAAATGCGGTTTTTTGTCATTGAATGCCTCTTCAATGCGTTCCTTTGGCTTTTTGGCGTGTTTCTCTTCAATTGTGCCGTTCAACGGATTGGTGTGACGGAAGATAAAATGCAATTTATAGTCATTTCCGCATTTATCTGGACCAAACATGATAGTATATGGCGTTTTGTCGTGGAACTGCAACGAATCGGCATATTTGAGTTGATCAAAGCAAAGAAAAATTGCAAATCAAAATGGTTGTTGTTGTTGAAACAAGGAAAACAGAGAGAAGAAGAGATATTGAATTACCGTTTTCAAGTCGGTCGTTTCCTTTCCCGATGACAACAATTTCAGATATGATCCGCCGCATTCTTGTCCCTCCTGTAATAAAGCAAATGTTCATTTTGATCTGTTTACATGGGTACAGTCTGTCGGTGTTTGTAGTTTCATGTAACAAAATGGTTTTTTTTTTAGTTTGACAACACATTTCGAAAAACAACCAGCAATTGTCTACTGTTCTGCTGTTTCGATAGAAATACGCGTATTCTTTTGTGTAGTCAAAACAAAAAGAATGAAATGATTGCCACCGCACACTTTGATTTAGTTTCAAAACACACAGTCAGTCAAACAAAAACCGTGTTTATTGGTTGCATCGAGTTAACTGACCTGCAACTGAACTTCATACTGAACGATGAGCGGTTTGTCGGTGAATACGAATGGCTTCACTAATCGGGATGAAACAGCTGAGTGTCGTGCTTTGCTCTTCAAAACTAATCCCAGATCATTTCGAAGGATTGGATTTTCTGGTGCTTCAATCGCCCATACGCCATCGTATTTATCGCTGTTTTCATCGCCTTTTTTCGCTGTTGATTTCACCCATTTCTCATCGAATATGTTTGGATCGTCGAAATGGTCGGCAAAGTGGAATTTTCCAGGCTGAATGACTGGACTTTCATAGTTTATCACTGATTCTAACGATTCATATGCGGGCTTTGGATGTTCCTATAACAGAAAAAGGCACGCGTTATAACCATTTACACTTGGAATGTTTTATTCTGTGTTTTATTTTTATCGGATATTTACAATTTTTTCGGCTTCTACTGTTACACCATCATCGTCGTCATCATTATTCGCTGAAATGGTGACTAGACAACTTGACAGTATTGCTATCAGCAGCAGAGTATTAAACCGCCAACGTTTCATTCTGTGAAATAGCAATTTTGTGGAATGTGAATAAAAAAATTTGAGATCGTTTTCTTTTTTAAATTAAAATGTCAGACAGTTTAAGCGCGAAAAACCACGCCAACTCAGTTTAGTTCGAGTGAGAGATGAAAAAATGCCGGCAATGTAATGTAATGAAGCCATTCAATTTAGGTTAAATTATCAATGTAAACAAATTGTAAGTGTATTTGTCGGACGGTCCAACACATCAGCAAATGTGACACAAGTGTGTGATGGTTTTCATTAAAGTACGACCATAGACACACACATAACGTGATTAATATAAAATTACACAGATATTAAGCATATTTACACGATGTGCACATAGTGCCGACATGAATTTTATTCTCATGTACAAAGGGTAACCACACCAATGGTATCGTGTCATGCGTTTGTGTGTGCTGATGAAATTGACTAAATTCAATTAAAAGTAATTTTCAAACGATTTTAATGCCATGGAGAATCCATTGCAGCGAAATGAAATGCCCCACAAGGGAAATGCCAATTTATGGTATCGGAATTAAACGAAAAATTTGGAATTTTGGTGGAAAAGTGACGCAACGACATTTTCTTCGGTCATCGTTGGGATTTTTTTCTCGAAAAAGATGGCATTTTGGACAAGTTGTTAAGTAAGAGCGATAATTGAATTTACAGAAATAACAACTAAAGGAAATAATTGTCAATAATTCCATACTATCGGTACACAAAATCCAATTAGATGCACTTACATCGAGACCAGAGCAGAAAAAAATATTATGAAACGACTGAATTATGAATATGGATATTCTAGAATGTTTCGTAAATTTTGCTGATAATGGCGAAAAATATATGGATTTTTTTTCTCTCGTTCAAATACGCTTGAATTCATCAACACAATGGAATATAATTGATCGACAGACACCCTCTTTTTTCACACACTCGCTCCTCGTGCGTGTTAATGCAATGCGAACATTATGAGTTGAGTTTTATTTGTTGGATACTACATCGAACGAAGAGAAAAAAAATCCCTTTATTCTAGAACTTACTTGCAAATTAGATCCTTTGGTCAAAAAAAAAACTAAACACTAATGCCTATATTCCTTATAACTATTGATTGGTTACTTTTGTTTCACGTAGTTTTCACAATCAAAGCCCAGAATTTCTGGATTTGGTTTTTTTTTTCAAATGGAATGACTATGAAAATTTAAAAAGAATGCTTTCGCACGAGTCACTTTGATGGGCCAAACTAACAGTAGACAGAATTGAGCAAAATGAATGAATAACGAACGAGAGCTGTTGAGCAAGCGAGAGAAAAAACTGCAATGACACTCGGCTGAATACGTAAGAGTCGGCGATTGGACGTTAAAAAGTCCAATGTATGTGTGTTTATTTACTCTGCTCCTTACCCATACAACCATACAATCGGAGCGTAAAACGAAACGCCGCATGATTCGAACGTCAACCGCTTCGATGCTTGTTGGTGTGCAACCGTGGTGAATTCGATGAATATCGTATTTTGGCATTGATTCGTGTGAAATTTTGTTCTTTCTCTTTGAATGTGGGCAAAAAAACATACAAAATTTTAGTTATTCTTTTTAGAAGGCAAAAAAAAATCTCAACCATAAAGCAAAAACCCAAAAACAGACTCATCATTTCGAAATTCACCATTCGAAATTGTTCGTTTGACAGTATTTCGGTGTTAGAAATCAACGCAACCATTGACGCTGGATTGTAAACATTCGAAACACACTTATTAGTGAGTGACTCATACATACACAACGCATATGAACGAATAACGAAGAACAAAGTAAACACCACAAAGGCAAAGCAAAAAAATAATAATAATAATACGCGAAGCGACGTTTCGAATGACAGTAGGCACTGAATCCAAAATTGAATGGTCCAGTGTAGCAATTGCTTGGTACGCAGAACAACAACAAAAGCGTTTCGAGTGGCACATTATAACACACAAAAATAAATCGAATCGTAAATAAACAAATCAACAAATTATAAACATTGCAACAGCCGAATTATTACGGTGTATAATTTAAATGTCTATCGATATCGCGCATAAACATAGCTCGTGCAAATATACTCATAAAATAGAATAGAATTTAAAGAATTGTTTTTTTTTTCTGGACGTAATTTATAAAAAACGAAGAGCCCGAATCAGAGCAAGAGCGATATCAATGGAACGAAGTAATTAGCAAGGGAAAACAAACACAGTGAAAAATAGAATAGCAAAAAGGCAAAAAATGCGAAACATAAAAGACAAGAAAATGAAAGCGAAAATGATAACAGAACTGGTTGGTTATCATCCGATTGCATTTATTCTATAAATATTTCGTCAATGACCTTCGTTTCGTCGACCAAACGTACAACCTAGATGCAATCGATCTTTTCCTGACCAAAAGAAACAACGATTTATTGGAAACGCGATTTCCAAAGTTTAAACGTGGCAATTGACGGTTCCTTACACGAAAATTATCGAAATTGATCCACAAATGTTGACATATTGCGAAACTAATTAAACAAAAAAAAACATATGTGTATTCACGCGAACGGCGCAAACCAAAAATACGATATCGGTCTTTCTCAAACATATCTTGATAAAAACACACAGTGACACAAACTTACTGCTTACTCAAACTCACATGCATTGTTGTGCCTATTTTGCATATACATTATATACTCGAATCAATTTTGATCTAAATCTTTGGTGTTGTTTTCTCATACATTCGTTCTTCGATTGAACGTGCACTAGGCATCGTATTCAAACTAAAATGTACCCGCTGTTGTTGCCGTTCGTAATTTAATCAGACATCAAATGAATTAAATTTCAACATTTGGAATGGTGCACACCAAATTGGAATGTTTTGTACGTTGTTGATTCTATTTCGTTTGAGAGCTTGTGGTTTGAAGAGATTTTCTCGGTTCATATAAAGAGAGAGAGAAAAAATGTGTAAAAATAATTGTGTAAGTGTTTGTTCCTCGTGGCAACAATGGATTAAGGCCATCCTCATACTGCTGTACACATTATTTGTGCTGATTGTGGTGCCATGGCTCATTGTGTACACAGTAAAAGATGGTTTTACAAGGAAGGACCAATTGATTCTAGTCGGTGGATTATTCGTGTTAACCAGCGTTCCACTTTGCATATGGCACATATTGCAACATATGCTTCACTTCACTAAGCCAATTCTTCAGAAGCCAATCATTCGGATCCTATGGATGGTACCGATTTACTCCGGCAATGCGGTAAGGTTTTTTTTTCTTGAACTCAAAACATGTCTATATTACATTTTACCTTATTTTATGCAATAAGATATACACAAATAAATTCAATACGTTAACATGAACTACTGTACTAATCTAATTTGTTATCGATCCGTCTCTTGTTCTCTCTATAACAGTTTCTGGGATTGATTTTCCCTGCACAATCGTTCTACATGAACAGTGTGCGTGAATGCTACGAAGGCTATGTCATTTACAATTTCATGTCGTATATTTTGAATTTTCTGAATTTGGAAATGGACTTGGAAGCATCGTTGGAATATAAACCGCCCGTAAAACACGTTTTTCCACTATGCTGCATGGAACCATGGAAAATGGGACGAGAATTTGTACACAATTGCAAGCACGGTGTGCTACAGGTATTATATATATTTTAATTAATAAAAACATTCATTTCAAATGCGTAAAACGCATCACATCGTAGCCATGTTATCATTCTTTTATTTTTGTTAATTTCAGTACGTCGTGATTCGACCCATTCTAACCATCATCTCTTTGTAAGTGAATGATTCAACTATTTTTTTTTTCTTCAATGAACAACAATTGACTACACACATTAGACATAGTGTGTGTCACACATATTTCAAAGTTGACATTTTCAATGGTACAAATCGAATGTTCATGCTGCATAAGCAACGGGGATTAGACATTGTAGTATTTTTTTTATCAATAATATTGTTTTTTGTTTTTATTTTTGTTCGATAGAGTAGCGGAGTTGAACGGCTTCTATGGAGATGGCGACTTTTCAACAAATAACGTTTACCCCTATATCGTTGTCATCAATAATATCTCACAATTCACAGCCATGTATTGCTTAGTATTATTTTATAGGGCGAATAAGGTAAGTGATGACAATTACTATCAAATAACAATGAATTGCTTATCGATAATCGATTCAAGCACTTTCTTACGTAGTCGAAGGTTAATGACTCACATTTTTGTTATCACAATTTAGGATGAACTGAAACCGATGAAACCGTTACCAAAATTCATGTGTATTAAAGCCGTGGTTTTCTTCACATTCGTGTAAGTATTTCTACCAATTCTCTTTAGTTGAAACAAAAAAATCGATGAAATATAAATTTTCGCTTATTTTTTTAACCAAATGTGACGTGAACTTTCGTCAAGAATTTTACGAATGGAACTGAACGATAAATATTCAATTTTTCTTACAGTCAGAGCGTTATTATCGACTTCTTGGTGTACTTTGGCTACATAAAAGATATTTTCGGTGACGAAGGGACTGCCGACGATGATGGCTTATCTGTGAAATTACAAGTAATATCGTCTAGAATTCACATAATGACTCATAAATTCAAATGACTTTTATCTTTCTTTTTCCTAGGACTTTCTTATCTGCATAGAAATGTTTATAGCTGCGATTGCTCATAAGTACTCATTCCCACATCAGCCTTATCACATAAATATCCCAAATTATGGAAATGATCGAACGTGGTTCAACTATGTTCAAGATATGTGGGATATGACAGATGTGCAACAGGATTTATCGGAGCACATTGGTGTGGTGGGCAGTTCATTAAGTCGACGATTCCGTGGTCGCAGCTCATATCACATGACACGCGGTACCTCTGAAACGGAACGTCTAATGAACAATCCAAACTTGGGATCTTCAACATCGTATCAGCAACACGGTGGCTACAACATAAACAGTGCATCAGACAGTGAAGGCTCAAATAATACCAATCATTATGGCGCCATGAGTTCGAGTGATGATCGTATTGCGATTGGATCCAACGATGATCTGGCACAAGTTCACTCAAAATACCGTAACGAAGGGATTAGCATAAGAAATCAAAAATCCAAAGAATATTCACCACAATACGGAGTACCAAAAGTGTTGGGCAATTATTTTGTGCATCAGCCGCGTGTCATACAAAATGCAACACAATCATCGGCTTCCTCATCGCGATACGATCAATCGACACGCAGTGACAATACAACGTCACAGTCACGCAGTGAAGTGTCCGGTTTCGATATATCCGCCTACGATAAGGCAGCCAATGTGAATAAGACAGGGACTATGAAAAAATCCGATAGCACAGCCAGCGATTGGCTTAGCACACCGACCGATGATTTTCTTGGCATCGATGTCAAAGGCATCGAAAAAGAGGAACGATCACATTTTCGCCGAGATCCAAAGATTTAAATTTTTGTCGATTTTTTTTTTATTCGATATATCGTGATCATTCGCATGACACATTTGTAAACTGACAATCTTAACTGCTAAATTACAATATATATTTATTATTTGAACGGATCAGTTTGATTTCTTGTTTCTTTATTCTTCATTTGCCGAAGCGTGAGCAAATCCGAAACGCGATTATGATTTTGTTAGGGTTTTTTCTTTAAAATCGTACAATTAAGGCATTGTGATTTGTTCTTTTTCCAAGAAATTCCTAACTAGTTTAGCTTAGACTGTATTATCCATTAAGTATATACTTTACACAACACATTTGAATATTTATCAGTGGCCAAATGGTTTTTTTTTCGATTTTGGCTGCGGATTTTTGTCTAGAAAAAGCCAAATTCATTTGATGTCTATTTTAAGCGGCTTTGCTTTGTATCGTTAGGTTAAACTTAAGTATATAACTCATATGATACTTTTTTTCATCGAGAATAATATTTTTTTCTAAAAAAATCTCGAATAAAAAATCGATTGTACTTTAAAAGTTCGAATCAATGTCTTTTTTGTTTGCGTTGTTGAAACGACAGTGATGATCGACGGCCGTCAATTACTTGACATGAACTTTATCGCTTCATACTTTATGAAAATCAACTTAAATGTATTAGAACTATTGATGATGACTCTAGTCATGAAAAGAGCTTTTCCTCATCATTGTCGATGTTGATCAACTTGAACGATGATGACTCTGGTCGGGAAAAGTTCTTTTCTTCATCAATTTATTAACATGAATGATCGTTGAGAAATGGCTGATTGTCGTAGTGCGCTATCGCCGTTCGAGCCATTTCCATTGAGAGTTTGGTTGATAGAATGCCATTTCTCTCAATTGAATTCCACATTGTTGCCATGAAAATGAAGAAGATGACGATGCCACTGAATATCATTTTCGCTACTAGATATAACATGCCCATACCGAACGGTGGGTAGACGTCAATTAAAAAGAACAACGGAATAATCAACAGCAGAGCCAATGCCTGGAACAGAACAATACATTTTTCAATGAGTTTTCAGTCCGTCACAAATATCCCTAAAATTCCAATGTATCTTACGAAATAAGCGTTTTTATCCGAACGTAGTCGTTTCAGAATTTGATCCAAAACTTCGATACCTTCGCCCAATGTATCTGTATGGGCCGATGCATTAGCTTCGGCGATTTTAGCTGCACATGTGTTGATCGTTTCGGCCGACTTTGATTTGGTCTGAATCAAGAGCTTCGCTGAAACCGCTTCATGATCCGAGTAGCTAATTTCAAGCCCTGGTATCTTGGGTGGCAGTGGTAGCTTGTGTTCGAGCACTTTGACCTTTTTGGTAAATTCAGAGAGAGAAAGGGAAAGTGTTATGTGAATTCAGACGTATTCTTCATACACTCCGATCGATACTGACCATGAGTTACTAACGATCGAATCTGGTGATAGAAGAGTGAATCTTACCTGGTGATTGTATCCATTGCGATATAGAATGTAGTCGATTCGCTTCCCTTTCGGTGCATTTTCTTTCATTGCGGTTGGTGTGTACGAATTATCAACGCATTCATTCGTGCAACAGTCTCCATGCTCCGTCTCATTGTATGTTTCGCGTAACCCAGATGCCGCCATTAAAATTCGGTACGCCAAATCGCCGGGTTCCGTATTTAAATCACCAGCAAGCACCTGTACGCATGAGTCACATCGTGTTGATTGAATGAATTGAGCGGTGTCGAACGCCTGCACCACACGATGCGCATTGTAATCATCACTTTCACGGTCATATTCCGCATGAAGCTGTATGAGAATGTATGAAATGTTAATGAGTGAATACGCCCCAATAATGTGTAGGAGTTAAAGATGGTTTCGTCACGAAACGTTCGTGAAAATCTGTAAACTTTCTACCAACGATAAATACTTACATGAGCAATATACACGTTCACAAGATGTTCACCAACCAATATTTTACATAGGCCGACTCCCTTCCCACCGAACCAATCGCCTTTGATAATATGGATTTCGATATAATAGTCAATTATTATTTCTTATTCAACACTTGATAAATAATAGATTAGCGAACTATTCATTACCATGGTGAATTCGATGGACATAACCATTGACAGACCAAGCATGAAATAGAGTTGACACTATAGGATATTTTGATAAAATGCATAAACCCGATCCGAACACTCCGCTGTAGAAATTTTGAGAAAATCATTAAATATTTTCCGAATCAATTGAAAGTTCTTACATCAGTCATCATGTGACCAACCCATGGTTGATAAAAAATAACACAAACCTATAAAAATAATGTGAAAATGGTAAATTCCTTTCCGCTGCCTTTCGAATCGATTGATAATCCCGTTCAGTCCATACTTCTTGTAGTGAGATCACATCATAATGACTGTTCGCATCGAAAAAGTCACCAATCGCTTGCATGCGGATATCACGGTCTTTTGAAACATATGGAATGCCCCTAGAAAGAAAAACAATATGCCGTTCCAATAAATTGAACAATTCGGGTAATTTTTTTTGATTGAAAATGTATAAATAGAGAACGAACAATGGAACAAAGAAATTAATAATAGAGAACGCGACACGAGTACACCTTTGTCACGCACATGCAACAACAACAACAACAAAAAAACCAGTCGAATCGTGCACATAATTGAAAAACACTTTCTCGCAAACTGATATACACTTATGTGTTAGCGCTGCATCTCATGAGCATTGAACAGCATTTGCGCGCATTTTATGCTGCATTCGTTGTACAATTAAAATGATTGTGCTCATTTTTTTAGATGAATCAAGGATTTTCTATGATTTTTGCAAAATTTTTCCATAGTTTTTTTTCTAATCCACATTGACAAATGAACAAAAATCCAATTAAAAGTACAAAAAAACGCACTTGAAGTGTCGAAAATAGCGATGTTTTTTTTTCATCATAACATTCAATTGTTTCCCTAATTGGGATTTATCAACGACACTTGTATCAACAAAAAATGATTAAAACAAAGAGCCTTTAGTAAGCCATTGATAGATAAAATTCAACAAACAACCATATATCACTCATCAATTTCCTATGCGTCATCAGATAATACCAGTTTTTTTTTATTCTCTTCCAAATTTTTATTCAAAGAACTTACCACACATTCAATGTAAGTATACTGAGTTCAAGTTGCATTTTTCTAACTGAAACTTTCACTAAATGCAACGGATGTCAAGTCTATGAGATGAATGATGTGTTTTGATGAGCCTCTAATGCAGCTGATTCTTTGACTGTTTGTTTGACTGGAATACACAACAAATAGCAATGTGTTTGTTTGGCGTTTTGAATTGCAATGCGACGTTTGACAGCAGCGCGCCGATGACAAGTCTCTAATCTCGAACACTGAATACATTGGATTTGGTCTCAGGTAATACTTTCCGTTTAAATTCTCGAAATTTTTGAAAAATCAAACCATTCGAGATTATTGATATTTTTGTAGTTTTGATGGATTTTTCCATTTAATTTTCCAGTGAAATTATTTTTTACTTCGTTTTGAATTCAAATTTTAATGAAAATCGGGTAAGGATATAAATTGTACAGCATTTATAGACGCCTGGCAACACTAATATTTGTCATTCACCTGGAAGTGTCATTTGTTGAATGAATTTCAAGCATTTAGAAGAGACAATATTAAAATTTTGCATTTATTTTCAATAATAAACTGGAGTTTCACAAGATTTGGAGAATAAAAAGGGTAAAAATGATAACTTTTCACATTTTCGTTCCTAATTGATAAGTTCTACCTAAAATTAAACTAAAAATGCAATAAATTGAGACATTTTCTCATTATTTACAGAAAAACTCGTAAATCTCGATTGAACGAGATTGTAAAGTATTCAATTTTGGAGTTGAAAACACAACCAAAACAATGAACTTTTCCAAAGAATTGAAGCCGGTGTTGGTGTACAATGATCCGAAGGAAATCGTACCATTCAGCAGCATTGTGGTGCCATCAACGATGCGTTCGCCACTGTGGAAATATTTCGGATTTCCAGCGGATAAAAATCAACAAATTTTAACGAAAAATCGAATTGTTTGCAGTATTTGCCATTCATACATTGCGTACAACAAAAACACAACAAATCTCAGTACACACTTGAATTGCAAACATCCGGATGTGCTGGCGAAAATCAATTCAAACAAACAGAAAGGAGAAGAGTATAAAGAGTTTGAGGAACCAATCCGATTGAAATCCGAAACGGGATCTTCGCCACATTCCAAGCGATCGAAAATGACGGAAGAGATTGAAGTCAATTGGTATGCTGACAATGACTCAGTCCAGAGTCCAGTCAAGGATGATTCCCATCCGACTGGAATCACCGAAAAAACCTTCGTCAAAGAGAAGAAGCTTACATTCAAGCCCAGTCAACTTGTCATTATAAAAAGCGACGGCGACAAAAGTCTCGAAAGCAATTTAGTGGTCGAACCACATGACATTGACAGTGAAAGCCAGTACATCGAAACCATTGACTATAACCATATTGACATGACTGAGGATGGCCACGAAGTTATCGCCGAAGAACTGGTTACAGATCACACGGCAAGCGACAGTCAACCGAAAGATGAATTTCTATCGGAAGAATTTTTAACCATCAACGAATCGAATGAAGTGCTGTACGACAGTTCAACGAAGGAAATTGTAATTTCCACCAAAATGCCGCCGAAAATCGCCAATAAAATCAATGTGAAGCGTAATAGAAGCAGTCACGACTCGTATGAAGTTGTCCTACAGATCAAAAAATTCCTTATCAAAGATTTGCTTCCCACTACGATTGTTGATGGATCTGGTTTCAAGGATTTGATTGGGTATTTTTTACAAAATGCAGAAATTCCGGGCTCGGCACAGGTGAACAACTAATTGGATTGGATTAATCTGCAAACTTGACTATCAAATTTTAAAGAAATTAATCAATTCCACCATTGAAATCATTTTCAGATCGAAAAAACCATTGAAAAGGACTACAATTTGCAGCACTCGAGTGTTTTGACCGGAATCAAGTCAATCATCAACAGTCGAAACTATTCGCTTTCATTTCACAAACTTGGCAATAGTTCAATGGTCGAAATCTCGGTGAATTACTGGTCCGACATAGGGAATCGCATCGGAGCGTTGGAGAATCAAATCTTTTGCATTTCCAAAAATTGCACCAATTTCATTGTCAGTTTCATTGAGAGTCTGAAGAATTGCAGCGCATTTGTTGTGGATTTCGATATGGAGACGGATTTTGAAGCAATTTTGCCGGTTGAAATACCTACCATTCCGACTTTTTCATACGTCACAAAAATGGCTTTTGATGCATGTATGCAGTTGTCTGCTGTGCGAACGGCCGTCGATTCAGCCGACGAATTTCTAGTGGGAAAAATCAAGGGATCTCATACTTGGCTACAACAATTCGAATATTTATCACAGTTTCTGAACGATTACAACGAGGAAAATAACCAGATCATCAAAATTTTGATCGAGTGCTTGCAACCGTTGAAGGTAATGAATACAACGAGGATTAAAGCAGAAAAATTATCCCAAAAATAACAAAAAAAATTGTTGATGTAATCGATTAATGAAAATTGATTTTAAAAAATTGAAACATTTCCGTTATTTTTCAGAACTGTTTGGATGTACTAGCCTTCGAGACATCAGCATATGCATCAATTATGAAACCAGTTGCGCTGCAGTTGATAAACCAGCATTATGTTGAAAGTGAGAGTGATACTAAATCCTCTGATACTGAGTTGACTGTGTTGGAGAAGGATTTGAAACGGACAATTTTCCGAATTTTTCAACAAAAGTGAGTGCACAAACGATCATGAACGGGACGTTTCCCTCGAAATATTCCATTTTTCTTCTTTCTCATCCGAACTACCCCAACCCAATGAATTTTATTCTTCTTTATTCAATTTTACATAATTTTCTTTTCAATTCAATTTCCATTGCAGCATAATTGGGAATCCCTTTTTGACAATCGGATCATTTCTAGATCCACGCTTCCAGCGACTTACCTCTCCGGACGATTTGAGTTCAATTCACGATGAACTTGAGAAAATCGTACAAAACAACGACGCAAAATCTTCTGAAGCAAAGACCGATGAGAGATTGCTCAAAGTAAAGTCGGAAAAAAGTTTCGGATTATCGTCCCTATTTTCCAACATTACGCCGGTGGCAAAAGCAAAGCCACCGAAGAATCGATTCGACATCGAATTCCGCAGCTATTCGGAAGATGTGAGTTTGGACATGGAGCTGTGTCCATTAGAGTGGTGGTTTGAAAGCGAAACTTTGTATCCAACCATAAAACAGCATGTGAAGAAGTACTTCTGCGTTCCAGCGTTTGTGAACAATTTCCATCGATTACCGCTCAACGAACAAGAGGAGCTAGAGAGCAAATATGACAACATTGACAGCGATACAAACGAAAAGCTGTTGTGGCTTCATTTGAACGAACTGCGGAACAGATCGTCGGAGTCATAGTTTTTATCTTGAGCAATTGCAAACTTCATCATACAATTTGAGTTTATGATTTAAAATTGTTTTTGTCCATTTTAACAAAAAAAAAATACTGTAATTTTTTTTCATAAAAAAGAACGTGCCAACGATTACTGTCGCAAAACAATTTCACATTTTATTTTGTTTTTTTTTTATAATGTAAATATTAATAGTAGATAACAATGTCTATTGATTAAACAATTTGGGGCTGTTTTCTCCATTAATAATTCTGTTTGGTTCATTTAATGTTGTTGTTTTAAAATGCGGGGGATAAAAATCAATCGCCGTTTTATGCCGCTACGTATTAATTTCAAATGGATACTACGAATAATAGATTATCATAAATGAAAATGCAGTCCAGTATGTGTATATGTTGTGTACTGTTTGTAAAAATGCATTTTGAAATTGGTCGATTTGAGAAAAGATTGGAGCTACGCGGATAGAAAATGGTTTGTATATGTTCGACTATATAATATTGATTAGTGGATTGATATAATGGATGCCACAAATACTCTTGATATACAATCGTGGAACTTGATTTATAATATATTTCAAAATCTTACAATTTCAATTGATATTTAATCAATATTGCTAAATGATATTGTTGAATGCATGCGATCATTCATTTTCTCTCTTTCTACTCACAATTTCTAATTATATTTTCTTCTAATTTTTTTTTCAATTTCAAATTCCTCTGCACAATTTCAATTGTTTCTTTTAATGAATCGTAACATATGCATTATACATGGATTATTGTTATTAGTTTCTTTTTATCGCTATTCAAACAAATCATGAATATTTTATTTACATTGACAATTTTTGTTTTTTCCTCTCTTTAAAAATCTGGATCGCAATTCGCTTTTATGTACAGTAAAAGCAAACGGTCTACGTGAATGATTGATTGGGAGGGTTTCTTTAATGCGACAGATTATAAATTTTAATTCAAAACAAAATAAAACGACATTTCTAAACGTTTCGTTTGGGGTGTTTACGTTGCCACAGCTTCAACATAGTTTGCCGGATACAAACCAACCCGTCCATTTTTGCGACCCTTGCACCAACCTTGCTCGTCTTCATCCTCGAGCTTCTCAAAGACTTCACCTACGAGAGAAATAAGAGAGAGGAGACATTTTAAAATGAAATTAAAACAGAAGTTCAAAGATGGAATTTTCATAAAAAAATGAATTTTGAATGGAATTTGTAAGGAAATTTTGAACAAATTGAAGATTTAATAAGAAAAATAGGCGATTAATGATGAACAAGTGTAACATTAGTTCAAATTGACTAAAACGCCTTTTTTCCACTTTGTGATGTCAATAAAGTGTCTTTCTTTCTTCCTCCTGACCTTGTTTAAATGTCAATTCATCACTTTCGGCACCGTCGTAATCATATAAAGCTTTGACTGGAACGCCTGGTTCTCCGTTGTCCACCAGAATATTTTCACCATCACCCTCATCCCACTCGCCATCGTCGCCCTCTTCGAATGGATTGGCTTCTGATTTGTTTGTTCCATTTCTGAAAAAAAAAAATTCAAATCGTTTTTCAAACTAAAAACAGTTTCGATTCCTATTATAAAGTTCATTCAATCGATATATCGATTTCTAACTAGGTAAGGGAAATCAAAAATTCATTGAATACTTACGTCACTGTTGAATTTCGATTATTCGGTGAATTGGATGTGTTGTGTGACGATGAATTGTTGGATTTCGGTGAATCTTCCTTGTTGACTCGAACAGCTGTCGTTTTAATAGCCGTTTTAACGCTGTTTCGGCTATTTTGTGGCGGTGGATATTCCTAAAATGGAGCAAAATTATTATTACCACGCCATTTTGGCTGTTCACACATTTTTGAGCTTTAAAAAACACCAAACAAGCCAAACTTTTAGTCAATTCTGTAAAAACTAAGCTAAATCTCTGTCACATGAAATGGTAAACAATAAAAACTGATCGAAACAAATGACATGCATACAGGCAACTCTTCGCCGACGGGTCTCTGATGGATGAGCGTGATGGGTGCAGCTGGAAGAGCTTCTTTGGATTTATTTCCCTTTGCAATATCTCGGAATTCTTCAGTGTACTCCTGTTTTGTATCGGTTTTTCAGGTTGCAACGAGCAGATGACAAACATATATTTTTGGCAAACAAATGAGTCAGTTCACACGAATCAAACATAAAAAAAGAAGTAAAAGATAAAAAAAAATCAAACAAAAGTCGAAAATCAGACAAAATTCAAATGTCCAATAAAAAAGAGCAGATTGGGTTTGCATGCAACAAAACGATTAGATTTCAGAGGAAAGTAAAAAAAAAACACAAACAAAAAACACTATTTATTTATTCATGCTGCTGAAACACAGCATATTCGATACGTACAACAAAGTTGGGCCAATTCATGGCCATATTGACTCCATGGTTGTTTGACCACCACTTCAAGTCCTTTTGATGATCAGAATTATTGATCGTATGATAAAACTCTTCGTAAATTTGTGGTAAACTAAAAAAACAGGCAAAAACAAAACACGATTCCAATTAGTATTCAAACGGAAGAAGTAAGCAGCCGAATTGGGCAATAATTGCTTGTGGAAAAGGACATACGTCGGGTCTTGCGTGACATTTAGCGTTTTGTGAATGGAGAACAGAACATTTTTGAAGAAGCACAATCGGGTTTGTTCCATTTCTTGGCACTTGACGAACACTGAGGTCATATCTTCTATGTAAATTGGATTATACTTATTGATTTCTTGCAACGCTTGCTCGTATTTTTCACGACATTTCTGCACTTCATCCTTCGTTTTCTGTACACGGTCTTGCATTTTCTTGATCTGAAAACAGAATTCATCATTAGGTTTTATTATTATCGAATGAATTGCACAATTTTTCACTCAGTTGAATGTCATTTTTCGTCGTAATCGAAATTCAATGAATTGGACTCGAGATAAGCAATTTTCAAGTGCTCAACTTATCGATTGACATCATTTTTCTCAAATATGGCGCTATCGAACTAATATTGCGTAGAAAATTGAATCAATAAATCCAGGCGATCGGATTCAACAGAAAATTTAGAAACGATTTTACGTCAACACATCATTTTGATAATAATTATCGGTGTTCAAAAACACGCTAAACCAAACAAACCGCACCAAATGATTGTTTACACACCTGATCTTGCGATATTGAGCTGTCGGCACTGGCATTTCGCTCTTGATTTGTGGCCGTCTTTTCAGTCTTACACGCTCCGTGATAATCGGCTTTGGTTTTTTCAACTTTCGCCAAATGTTTTGCCCATGGTTTTTGTGCCTTTTTAAACAGATCTTCCATCTCCTTGCGCTCTTTTATTTGAAGCATATTCTGAAAATGGGAGCAAAAAAGTTGTCGATGTCAATGTCATGGTAATTTATTGAAATTCTGTGAAGCTATCGCTAAGCGTCATTTCGATGTGAATCAATTTTCAATTAATGAGTGAAAATTCTTTTGAAACTCCTCATTTTCATCTTTAACATTTTCGATCCATTCTTCGCTCTGAATTTCAGAGGATGAAAAATGACTGCTAAAAAATTCTCTTTTTTCTGTTTTCAAAGAGAATCGCTTACTTTATGGTAATTATCCTTTTGCCACGTTTTAATTTGTTGAATTTCGCCAATGCACAAGTTTTCTTTGACTTTTAGATGAACGTCAGAGACGCGTTCAGCTTCAGTTAAAATGCCTTTCCATGCCGCTTCCATCGTGCCATACTCGGGTCCTACAAGAGTTTACGAAACATTTTCTTGTTAAACATGGTCAAAAAATCATATAATAAAAATTGTAATTGAATTCTTCGAAATGAGGTCATAAAGTGGAATACACCCAGGCAAAAACACTTGTAATTTATTTACGTCATATTGACAAGATAAGCGGCGTATTTCTCAAAACTGTTTCACTTAAATTACCTTTTTCTATGAGTTCACCCCATTTTTTCGACCAAGCCCGTAAACTTTTTGCGTACGCTTTTTCTATTTCAGCTCGTTCATGGATCAGTGTCTGAAGATCTGTGCAAAGCCTATTGAAATGAGACAAATGAAAGCAATGCGTTAAAAATGAAATCACTTTTTTTATATCGATTCATGTATACTCACTTGTAGCCATCTTCTATTCGTTTTGTTGTTCGTTTATAGTTGCCGGCCTCCCAGAATGAATCGCTTCCAGCCTGCAGAAGCTGATCGTCGCTGTGATGTGACATTATTTAAACGCTAAATGTTCGTTCGACGCTTGACGAGACTGCAAACACGTTCGTGGTACGCGTTATGATCGTAAAACCATTAATCAACCGTTGAATTATTATGGTTTCAATGGACTTTAACAGATTGAATCTGTGGAGGGAGAAAAAATCGTAATATTTATTGTTTTTGGTAAAACCTTCTACGGATTTGACATAAATAAATAGTAAGAGAGAGAGAACTTTTCAGAAAGAATTGAGTCAACTGCGATTATAAAAAAAATCGTTCGACAAAATTGTGACCAAAATAAATTCCACTCATACTGATAAGTCGATAAAAAATATTTACAAGCCAACTGTACATATCTATGAATATAGAATATTCGATATTGAATGCAAGAGAGAGAAATCCAAGTGGACACACGTGACAGAAATTTAGCTTTAATGCATTAGCACAAGTGATAACAAAATATTAAGGTCGGTCCGGTCCGTATTTTTTTTATTATGCAATTAAAAGAAATAATCCCATTACAAGTTTTAATGCGGGAACTTGGAATAGTAAATCCAAAGGTTTTTCTATTTTTTCAGTCTCGATTTTAGAATGTTTCACTAGTTTTCTGACTAAAATATTTTTTCGCAACCAATATGAGTAACCGACTGGATAAGTGATAGTAGGCTGAATTCCAAGAACTTTCTTTTTCAAATGAAGCGAAGGAATTTGCTATGCCGAAGAAATTCATCAATCACATCATAAAATGTAACGGTTCAATCCATTCAAATTCCGACGTTTATCACAAAATCAAAGCCAAACTGATCATGCTAATAAATCAAGTTATTTTCGACTGATTTCATTTATTCAAGTGGAAATAGACAGCCTTGTAATACAAAGTATGTACGAGCGATGTGCTCAAATCATAATGTATATCATGTGTAATTCAATGTGGCTTTGCAAAATTCTCAAAAAAACAATGTGTCTATTGTCAAAACTCAAGTATTAACAAATTAAGACTAACGATCATCAGACACAATCTGAATGCATGAATTTCGTCTCACATCATAAAATGTTTGTGTTGAATTTTTGCCACTTCAATGTAATTGAACCGAATTAAGGATGTACGATAGCTGAACTGTTGACCTATTCAATTTATCTTAATGCATGACTATAAAATGAAAAACGATTGACAAGGTGCCCATAAATTGGAAACACTCTGACGTGATCCCAAAAGTGGAAAGAGCGATTGTCGATGTATTTCGGGTCACCAAAGAGGTAATAACCTCCATGCCAAAATATTCTCTCGAAATATTAATAGCAGTTATCCGGTGATTGATGATCTTTATCGGGATTGAATATATCACGTGCTCGTGAAACGAATGTGTATATTTTTTTAGTTTACTTTATGAAGGCATTTTCTTCAAAGAGGAATGAATCATTAAACGCATGCAAAATCGAGATCATTTATTCTGATTTTCTCAACACATGTTTTGTTACAGTTTAATAATACGTTGGCTTTATGATTTTGTTCACGTATTTGTTCCATCGTTTGCTTTGATTTTTTTAAAAAAGTCTCTTTGAAAAAAAAATGCTGATATCTGCACTACTACTAGTAGCTGGTATTGGATAGAGAGGCACAGTGCTTTTCTTATGTTTATATTAACACAAATGCGAAAAAAGAAATCAATGCACTGAATGTAAACAGTTTTCAATGACTCAGTCGAAGTTGAAAAGGGGGTTTTTACTGTCGACAGACAATTCAGTATCGTGCCGTGTCGATTCCATGAAAAACCGAATGCACCTAGTGAAATAATGATGCAAGCAATCAGAAAAGAAATTTGAATGAGTTTCTCGATGCGGTTGCTGTTGTTACTAGCGCGTAATGTGATTGTTTGTTATGTTTGACAGCATCTCATCGGTCGGAATGTTAACAAGCAACTCATCGTTTAGATCTGCCGCGAAATATTATCGCTTGATTGCGAATGCATTTCGACCCATTTAAAACACTGACTTGAACTTTTAGCAACACTTGAATACAACCAACGATGAAACACTTGCAAAATATGCATAAATTTCAGTTTGCACGCATTGGCACAGATTCTACAATGCAATATGCGTTCCTCATTTGGCTGATAGAAAAACATGTAAGCTTGTGATTGATTGTTTACATTCACTGTCTCTCTTTGCTAGAAACGATCTTTGCTGTATGTCTCTCTCTCTCTCTCTCTCTCTCTCTCTCTCTCTCTCTCTTGTTTTCCCTTCTATTTCTTCTCTCTCTTCTTTTTTCTCATTTTTCTTCCAACTCTTCTTTCCCTATCTCTCAACTCTAGCCATGAAACATTTAAAAATTGGTTTTTCCACAACTCTCGCCCATTTGGTGCTTTGAACAGGTTTGCTATTCGGCTTTTCAACCGGAAAAAAGCGTTTTATTCGATGCATCATCGCGTTTAATTCCATTTTCTTTCACCTTTTTCGATAAAAATGGCAAAATAAATGAGTGACTAAACAAATGGATTGTATGACCTCTGTTCATTTGGCTGCAATATGAAACCAGTTGAAAGTTTCAATTTTTTTGGGTATCATGCCGAGTACTTTCCCGGTCAATACGGTACGGGAAATGAAACCGAGCACTCATTCAGCTCATTATATTAAAAAAAAAAAACCGTAAACGCGTCACTCAAACCATGTTACCACACACTTTTATGACTTATGGCTGTGGTCAATTGCATCGGTTTTGACTCGGTGTTGTTGTTGTTTTTTTTGTTTCAGTCATGTTGACTAAAAATCAATTGAGCGAATAAGAAATTTAACATTGACCTCATGTGAATGCCTCGGATGAATGCGTTCATACGGCAATAAAATTGTGTCCGAGATATTCTAAACAAATTGTTGCATTGGTTCCGGTTTTGTTGGGATTTAATAGCTCATCATGGTGCATCACGTGCATTTCACATTGCAAATATTTATAGTTCATACCGTGGGGCATTTTTATTGCATTCTGTCATTGATTTATGCGCAAAGTTTAGAATGAGTTTCCAAGTTTCAATTGAGTTAAATCCCAATGCAAAGTTTTTTGGCGGGCATTTATCCAAAGTTGGTTGTGATGTGGGTGTTCGGTTCGTCGCAATTCGCTTTGGCGAGGGGACGTGAAGCGGATTAAAATTGAGAACACAAAAACAATTAAATGAAATATGGCTATTTCTATATTGTTCGAAGTCACCTTTTGACATTATATAAATTAAAATAATAGCAAAAATTGCGACTCAATTCTCTCGCCAATGAAAACCTGTTTCATTTGTTCGCTGTAGCAGTTGAATTATGAATTTTTTCAAAGGTTACACATCATCTGTAGAAACGATTGATATGTTATCAAATGTGTTAATCCGACGTAATACAATTGTACACGTATTACCAACCACACACATGGCCACAATTCAATGATATCGATAACTGTCAGTAACGAAGAAGAAAAAGAAAAAAAAACACGACATTTTCATTTCGTTACAGCAGAGCAAAGAAAAAGTGTAGCGAATTGTGTGTATGACACAATCGATGCCATTGTTACCGAAAAAAAGAAATTCATCGCAATCGAATCCAACTGTGACTTGAACTGTACAGTGTACACGCCAGCAATCATTCGGTATTATGTAAGTGTATCAACAACAATGCGATTAAGTACCCATGATACATTGAACGCTATGTGGCGATAACGACGACGACGACGGCGACGGTGGCAATCCAATGAGCACGTGCAAAACAATAGAAAGAAGACGAAGCAGAAGAGAAGAAAAATTGATCACAAACTTCTTTTTTTCACCATTCATTTGTAGTTCATTCATTTTTCAACGAAGCACAACGGTTACACATTAGTTTTCTATACATCACACAGAGTTTGTTCATTGTGGCAGCGACGAGTTGTACAATTCGTCTCATCTTTCACACCAACAAAAAAATAAATACTTGATTAAATGAAGCGGCTGATTGCCATTAAGCGTTAAATCGCCGCTTATTTGTTTTGAATTTTACATTCGTTTTTTCTTCTTCTCCATTTGAATTCTCGCATCAGATAAAATCCCTGCATATTAATCGATTTATATAGATAAGTTTTCCGCAGTTGATTCTCACACAGAATCTCCCCGTCGCAACAGTCTGTGCGGTATGCAAGTTTATTAAAACTTCGAGCATAAATCAAAAACAAGTATGACAGATTAAAATGAGTTTTCTTCTTGTGTTCACACATAACGATTGGATTGGCTGTCGTTTTGGTCACCCAATAGATATACACACGCTCATGTTCGAAATGCAAACTGAATGGAAAGCAACTAGTGTGTGTGTGTATAGAAGTATGTAGATTGAGAGTTCAATAACATTCTATGAATAAATTTTTGATCGTGCATCTCTGTCTTGCTCCCTTTCTCACGTGTCTTTGTCTGATCCGGTGCGTTGAAACAACCGCCTTAATGGAATGAATGGCCGATGCTTATACCAACCGATAAATAAACAAATGATACGAACCAAATAAAAGTGTTACTCAAATATGCCGACGATAGGTGAATGAGAAAGAGTCGAGCGAGAGAATCGGAGAGTGTTGGCGTGACCGTTTATTGCTAGAGAATGTCAACAACGAATATTGCCCATGGATTGATTGTGTTCTTTGCATAGAAGCATATCGCACATTGAGATGGAGTTTTTTTCTTCTTTTAAATATACACATGGATAATTTATTTTTATTCGCGCCATAATCGATGCTTAATAGGCGTTTAACCATTAAGGGAAATATTAAGTGATTAGGATTAGAAACCATTAGAATGAGTATGGAGGAACGAAAGAATATAATAATGGTTATAAAAATAGCATTTTCAGTGTAATTGAGAAATCAGACGATTCAAAAATCACGTCGACAATATTCTTAGGCCGATTTGCGACCGAAGCCATAATTTAGAATGACTTTTCGTTTTCACATTGTGAAACATGACGATGATGTTTTTTTTTTCTACTTCCGAACAATTTCCGCTTCATCAATTCGACAATGCATATGAACCAATGAACATTGTGATATTAATTTTCATTTCGCAAATGTGGAGAAATGTTAATGTGTTCTATTGACTTTTTTTCTCCTCCTTGTCTATTTTGTCTCTGTCTCTTT